AACGTGAAAAAAACCCTAATTTCACCTTGGGTGTGTAATTTTTTTGCCCGCGCACAAAGGGGGACCAAACGTTGATATAAGCCAAGCCCAAAAGCAAACCGATTAAAAAATTGCCATCGGGGTGATAACTCCTCCACGGGTGCGCACAAAAGTTATCAGCGCTCGATGGAAATAATAGGGGCTATTAGAACAAACATCTTTAGAAATATTCAAGGTGAAACATAAAACTTTACAAAAAAAATAATGTCACCGTTTGTGTCTCAACTTTCTTTAGAATTATTTACATATCCATCTATTACTATGTTTTTATTAAGTTATTTACACAAACATTTATCGAATCGAATTTATTGTGGCGCGTAGGCGGTCAAAAATCGACTCTTTGGCACTTAAACAAGTCAATTGTGCCCAATAACGAGAATAAATATCGGGATCGATGGGAATCGCATCGTAACGATCTTAAATCTACTATTTATCACCGTGTTTTCGTGAAATGCGCACGCGAACACGCTTTTAGAAAAATGTCAGCACACGTTAGAAAAACACCTCAAAAACAACAATGAAGCAAAGCTGCGTTCACAGTTCATTCGCATCCACACAGTCCATGAGTGCATTAGCATATTACTTTGTATTGTTTTGCATAAATCACGATTTTATGGCTTCATTCGATGCCCGCGACGGTCAACTCCTCTTTTCCATCATCTTCAGAATATAGTTTACATACATCACCACAAAAAATTTAAAAAAAGTACAAAACTGCAAGAAGTTCTGATAATACCCATGTAATATAAAGATTAGACACGGATATCAATTTCACATACGAAGAATAAGTCGTAATTTTGAATTATTAGTACCTATGAAACAATTTACATAAAACTCTAAGACTTTTCACTGCAGTTGAAAGTGTTTCCGAAAAGTAAGTGCCATTTACCAACAAAGCATAAATCATTTTTGTGTGGATATAAAAGTGATATACGTTGCATTGTCTATGGTCATGTTTATAATATAACCGACAATTTTGTATAAAAACACAACTTTGTTGAAAGACAAGTACCAGTTTTATCAATTTTATGTACTTTTTCGAACATCGGAGGTTAAAATGTATAAAATGTGATGCGCTACTTTACGACCCACATGATTATATCGTAAACTTTGTCAAGAGAAGCAACTCAAAAGCTCATTATCTATTTTCATCAATATTTATGCTTGTTCGACGAATACGCATTATTGCATATTGCATACGGTAGGTAAAATACGATCGTCGATTACGATTTATTGGAAAGTTAATTTTTAACAATCGACCTTGTTGCTTATAGGTTATGTATGTGCATGTAAGATAGGTTATAGTGAATGTTTTATATTTTGACAGATTTGATGTTTTATCTGTGTTGTAGCATGCGTTTATTTAATGCTCGTCTCATCATTTTGTAATGGCAAGTAATGTAAGTACGTAATGGCAAAGACGTGCAACACTCGTTGCGATGTTTGCCAACACACGCAAGGCGCGCTTCTCTAATGGACGTTAAAATCTAGGAAGCTTGGAAGTTTTCAAAGTCTTTCCAGTCCACGAATCTATAGTCTTCCATCGGCAAGAATTCTTGCAGTTTTGTGAATGTTTCGTAGCATCTTCGAACATCTAACGGGCTGAATGTTGGAAAGTTATCCAGTCGCGTTATTAGACGTCAATAATAACAGTACAGGCCCGCAGATAAAACCCAAGCACCCAAAGAACGCAACGTAAAGAGTAAAGAGACTTACCCGAGAGACTGCTTTGCGTTTATAGTTGATACTCGGCGGTTGATAGTCAGAAGATGGTGGAACGATGCTAATAGACGCACGCAGGAGACAAGAGACAATGTTGTCCTTAATAAACAACGCGACGCACAGTTGCCGTTTCGTGCACACAAAGGGGTAATAAATTCCGGCGGAGAGACTTTCCATCCGTGTTTGCTGCTGTTGCTGCTTGGTGCAGGTTGTTGCAACGACGAGTAACGAACAAACAAAACGATTAGACGCAAATCAACCGACAAATATGATGCCGCGACGAGATGATAATGCCACTATGTTCGCCAAGCACCTGAACGGCAAACCACACATTGTATTCAATAATAAACATCCATCAAGAGATCCTTCTTTGGTATCTTGCAAGCATTGTATTAAAGTACAAACTGTTTTTCTCTTACACATTTTTTCACTGCGTTCAAATGTAATTCTAAAATAAAAACACAAATATTATTTAATTCACAAATCGGATTGTTAAAACAACGAAAGAAAGTCTTCACTTTTACAGTTACCAAGTTAATAATTTTTGCACACGAGGACCACCTGCGGTTTGTTGGTTATGCCGGTTACTTTTTATTTTGTGTTGCTTTCAATCCCTCGCGGATGCACAACTTGCAACTAAACAATGCAATATGTTTTATTTGGTTCATTAAGTGATTGTTGCATAAAAACACTATGTATTTATATCACGCAATTACAACAGCACCAAAGCACTTAACTTATTCACACCGATTGTAGATTTATTGCACATTGCGCAATCTGATTTTACGCTGCAGCGTCCTCTACCGCATTAAAGAGAAAAGAAGAGTTGTAATGAAGGTCACATACAATTCTGCGCATTTCCTATAAAATTCTTGACTGAATTCTGAATCAGTTAAAATTGTGGATTTTTAAAATGTTAAAGAATAAAATGCTTCATTTCTCTGCGTCATATTTAAAATGAAATTTAAATTTAACTTTAGTTTGTGTTTTTCACAGAATTATGTAAGCATTGTGTGCGCTAGCTAGTGAATGTTGGTTGTATTTATAATAATTGTAAATGCGTGCGCTAAATTTAGCCCGAAAGGTGTTTGTTTGAATTTAAAACATCGCGCCACGCTGCTGAAATAAACAGCGCGGCCGGCCGCGTACAATCAAAAGTGCGAAGCGACGCGTTGCGCCCGTTTTGCGGTTTTTTGGTGTTTTGTTCAATACGCGTCAACACGTTATGCAAACGCTAACAATTACAACTCTAACAGAAAAATATACATCTATTTTATCAAAAATAAAAACTATACTTAAACTTATATTAAATTACACGCTAGAAATAATAAGCCAATGTTCTGTTAAAATATACGATTTGTAACTATTTGTTAGTTTGAAGTTAAAAATCACGTATAAATGGATACATGTTAAAAGTTAAAAAGAAAACTATCTAAAAAATAGCTTATCTTTCTCGTCTCAGAAAGTCTGAGGTTTATCTTAATTTTGATTGGCGTTTTGGCGTTTTGCGCGCTTTTTGTTTTGCTCAGCGCTGACTTCAAACGAGCGAGAGATTAAAGATTCCGCGCGGCATGCGTTGTTGGTCAGCGCTTTGCAAGATGGCGTCCGTTAGACGTCACGGCATGACTTTAAACGCTTTTCGCCGCCCAACACAATAACCTGCAGTCCTGCGTTGCACATCACCGCCGTTAAAAGATGAAACGCTGAAATCACAAAAAAAACACTAAATACACACACGGAAAGTCCGAAAGATTTCGAGCGTTAGAAGTTAGACACAAGAAAAAAGAGAAACGGTAACAAAATGTTTTCTAAAGAGGCCGCCGCCATCGCTGAGACGAAAAACACGCGCCGTAATTGTGTAAACAATAATTATTCAATGTTTGATTTATCGCCTTTGATTGATGACGAATTTAGCTAATCGCGCATTCCCGACACATTCGACACGCATCCGACAAGCGGCGGCATGTGGAACAAGTAAAACAGTGATTTCTTAATTTCATCATTAATTATCACGATTAATTGCAATCAAATATTGAATAACATGTTTGTTAACAATGTTTACACATCTGACACATTTAAACCACATTAAATTCATGAATTCTACAAATCTTTGATTTTCTAATTTTCTAATTTTCTAATGAGAAGTTAATTGTTGTCCAAAGCGATTGTTAGGATGTTTACAATTCACCCATACCTATGTGTAGAAGGGGCTGGTTTAAATTGCGCGCACGTAGGTGCGACATGTAATTACGAGCGAAAAGGTCGGATGGTTCTAGGTGGTCGGACGATGAGATAGCGCTCGGTGGCCAAATTGGTACGGCGCGCAGAGGGAGCAAAGAGCGGAACAGGAAGTCGGGCAGCGCGGGCGCTGGACACAATTTCCTGCTTCTCGCACACAAACATTTGCGCACGCAAAGATATATCTGCGATTCCAGCTCTCTGCCCCCACAGCTCCGTCGTCCCCATTTGCTCATTCCGCTCGTCCTCTCCTCCGCCGCCCGCCGGCGCTTTCTAATAACGTAAGGTGGTGCGTGGTGCGGCGCGGTCGTTCGGTCGTCGGGAGCAGCAGCCGGAACGCAATCTAGGATGACCAATGGCCAGCAGATCCGGTCTAATGTGTCTCCAGACCGGCATTCATCACCGGACAGCGCCGCAGCGCCGAGCGCGTTTCCTTCATCAACTGCACCATTTTCCTCTCCCCCGAGCGGCCACCGGCGGGAGATAAACTTCGCGCTAACACTCCCGTGAGCCGGCACCCTCTAAAACTAAATCTTTAATATTAAAGTTTGATGTCAAGGGTCATACGGGTACAGCACGCTCTCAAAATGGTCACACTGAGATCACACAGATAGGCAAGGATTAAAAGTAAGTAAAGTATAAAATGGATTTAAGTTTCAAAAGGATTTCCGAGCCTGTCTAAACCTAAACCAACCTCGAAAAGTTTTAAGTATGTCACGATTTACTTACTCTCATCAATATAAGTTAAACTACGCCACAAAACTATAAAAACTAACTTGGAGGTCAAAATACTTACTTTTTGCAATTTTTTTCTGAAATTGTTTAAATGTGGACTGAGGATGTAATAATTGGAAGACAAAATTGTAAGTACACAAGATGCAGCATTTAATGCTCACGTTTCGTCTCGTAAAACACTATACAGAGGACAGCACGTTACCATAATTTTCATTTGTCATTTCAACTGAGGAGAATCCAACCGAAAAGTAGAAAAAAAACTGGTGTAATTTTTTACAATGTATTTTTGCTCGTTTTTTGAATTTTACACGTTTTTTGGACACTCACAGACAATACGCACACATGCATCCCATCCACACGCATCCCTCCGCAAACGCTCACATCACACATGCATCAGATCAACACAATATTTTATGCATCAACAAACAAAACAAAAATGATCCATTCCTTCCTTCTTTGCGCGCGTTTCAAACGCGCTGCGCTCTCGGAGACAAGAATAAACACCCGGACATACAATCCGCCTGTTTATCCTTATCATCACGTAGTTTAATAATCTCGGTTTGTGTGTGTGTGTGTTTCTCATCATCTTTATATTAATTATTTATAATATTTATATATATTCATCATTTTTTTGTTTCATCATTAAAAAGCGGAACACAATAAAGTCCTCTTCATTTCATTATCATGTTTGCTTCGAAATATCTCTGCGCTCCACGCTCTCCGCACTCGCGTCCGTAATTACATAAACATATAGAGGTACGATATTTTTATCTTCAGCATCGTCGCAGAAGACGCCCGACGATGATGCGCTTACAAATCTCTGTCGGTGTGCGTCCCCGTGCGTATTGATTTATTCGTATACATTGGATAAGGCGAACAATGATTCATGATGGAAATCACTTAAAAACGAACAGCCAACATTTCTCTCATCGTATTATTTTTGTTTTTTTAGTTCAGCTTAGAGTCCTGTGTTTGTGTGTGTGTTGCGTTTTGTCGCGCAAGACATTTTTCGCGTAATATGCAAAATTCAATATTATTCAAATATTGGAGGTATTAATTTGTATTTACAGTTTCATTCTTTCACTTAAAGAATGCCCACACAAGCAAAGCTCTTCAAACTCAAAGTGTTTCAATTTTGTGTGTTTGCATCAAGCACCGAACGAATATTTTACGAATATAATAATAATAAGTAACAGATTTCTTTTCTCATTTCACATCAACACATCAAAATTCACTCATTAAGTTACAAATTGGTAAATAACAAGAAGATTGCACGAAACCATTCGACGCTTGACTTATCACACACGCTGCATGCGTTTGAATAACTTTGCTTTTATTGAACACCCTGTATAAAATCCCGTAAAATGGGATTTTATTGTTTATTTTTTTTAGGGAGGCCGGCCGCCGGGAGTATACATTCGTATTTTTATTTTTTATTTCCTTATTTTTCACCCTCGTCGCGTTAAATATTTTAAAATTTTCCTATTGGTATCCAGAGTCTTTTTCTGTTCGAGTGTTTATCATCGTTTTGTCATCAATTTTACACAATATACAATATATGCAGGTATATAATATATATTTATATATATATAGAATTGTTAATCGATTGTAATAATTAATATTTATAAAACTATAGAATTTTGAAACTTTTTTTTGGAAACTCGTAAAATCGAAATGTCGTATCGCTGCTGTCGTTATTATCTAATAAAATTATTGGTATACATTTGCAGATAAATCGGTATACAATTTGTTGATTTTGTTGCGTGCGTTAAACGGCAGCCGACCACTTCACTTACAAGCCCGTATACGATCCTGTCGCCTTCATAACCTCAAAACAACAAAATGAGACGAATCTAACCTCAAAGCTCTGTATTCGTCGCCAACTTTCGAGGTAACAAACATATAAACAATAAAAAAAGTTGGCGATCCAAATTCGAGGATGATCAAAAGTCATTTAATTGATTCGCTCGTGTTTTGCTGTTTTGATATTGTTACATAGACTTGTTTTTCGGTTAAATCGGTTTAAAAACTTTGTATTCGAAAATAAAAAATAAAAATAAATTCAATGACTAAAAACGTATCTCGTATCTCTCAGCGTTTGTTTCTGTGATTTTTGCTTTCCTCACTCCTCATCATCATCGTTTTATAATAATTATTTTATGCATTAGTTAAGGGTTTAGTTTACAATTATCATTAATTAATAACATCGAGGATCACCAATAAATTCGTATACACTGTGTTTTCATTTTTAGTTAATTATTTTTTAGGTTATTTTGCGCCTTTGCTCTTGTTTCCGGAGGCGTGTCGACCAAAAACGACGCCATTTTGAAACCAAGAAATCCGCCGAAAACTTGCCTCGCATGCAAATTTACTATGAATATTTCAATAAATATCAGACCTTCAAAGTGGTAATTAATGCATAAAAGAAATTCGAATACCAGGCAAGTTGTCGCCACGTTGATAACTCGATTTGGCGTAGAAAGGCAAGAATGCATCAACATTTTGCAAATGTCACATCTGTCACATCGCTAACTCGTCACCGATGCAAAATATAAATCTCATCACGTTTAATAGCAATAATAGGATAGATTTCTCTTCATTTCTCTTTGTTTCTTTCACTTTGCTTACACTCGTACGTTAATTGTTGCTTTAAGTTTACAGTTTAATAAATAATCTCTTTAGCTATTGGTTCAGCCTGCTTGTGACACCTGAGACCTTGCGACGTTCGGTATACTTGTGTATTCATTAATAATTTCATTGAAATGGTCAAAAATGCAAATGTTTTAAATCGTTAAAAATCGTATAGCTCATCAACTTGTTTGTCGCTGTCTGATAAAATCTAAAAATATGCAGCGCCATTTGCACATCCGATAGGCGCCATATTGTTGTATAGGTTTCGTACTTACGTATATCGTATAATTGTTTCATCATTTTGTATCTTTTGTATCTTGATTCAACAGCGCGGTGTGATAAAAGAGCAACGGTCACTTTGTGAGAAATTAATCGATTAACTACTATCAAACTATCAAGTTTTAAGACATATTATACAATGGGCACAACCATTTTGTTGCATTTTCGTATCTCTTGTGTGTGTATGGGTGTGTGTGAGACTGTCGTGCAGAACTACAGTTGTTGTCGGCCATGTTGATGCATCCAGCGCTGACGTAGTTCCGGCCTGTGGTTCGAGTAGCGTTGGCGGCGTTGGCGGCGACGCCATCTTGTTGTCAGTGGTACACTTGATTTCACTTCGTTTAGTAACTTTAAAAATGTAGCGAATCGCCATAGTTTGAAGTGGTATAAAGTTATACACTCGATTAGAGTCCGCCATTTTAGTTATTCTTTTGCAGATGTTCGTTGATGTTGTTGTTGTTTTAAGCTTTTAGTTTTTAAAATGCTGTCAGAGTTCGTTTCGTTTTCAAGCGATCCGGCTGCCGGGCTTCCCTCCCTTCTTGTTCTCTACGCACACTCGTTCTATATTTGTGTTAATTATCATTACTCATAATTATTAATATTAATATTATTTATAATTATTATTTATATATAATTAATAGTTATGTACAAACTCGCACTTTATTATTATTATTTTTCACATTTATATATATAATACGAGCGTTCTAATACTTATTTGTACAAGTCCATCCCGTTTCTCGTTTGTTTTTGTTTTATTTGTTGCATTTCGCGTATTTTTGTTTGTTTGTTGTGCTGCATTCGAATACCGTCAATGCCATTCTGGTGTCGCATTTAAATTGTTTAGGTGTTTTTAATCTCTTAGTTTAATTGCGCTTTGCGGTTTTTCTTCTTCATCCTCGTTTAGGTTTACAGGCCGCGCATCATTTTCATCATATCATCTTGTGCGGCGCGCATTTGCAAATGCTCTTTCTCCTTCTCTTTCACTAAAACACTGGGGCACTACATTTACACTTTGTACAAAGAATAATCACATTTAAGAGTTGCATATTTGAATGTCCGTTATCGTTGTATGCGTGAGACCTGCAACAATAAAAATTATACCATTAGACTTTGATATTCAGTTAACCTCAAAAGTAAGGTCTGAGAAGTACCTAAGTGACTTAAGTCGTGTACTTCAGGTGGAAATGACTTACCTCACAGATGATGTCCGTAATACTCCGCGGGATAGTGCGCGTATTGGTTGTGGAAGGCCGGATCGCCGGGCGGTCGATGCATCATCTGTTGGCCGTCCATCATGTAGCCCATGGTGCCGTCCGGACTGTACGCGCCGCTGGGACCTGCGTGCGGAGAGAACACTGCATGCATCAGTAGGATAAATAGCTGTCCGTAGACTCAGATAGCAAACAACATTTTTTTTTTCTTAAAAAAAAAATTAAGTTTCCAGTTTATTCCCACAATCTCAAGCGATAATACCAACTAGCAAGTACCAGCGAGGAAATTCATTTGTGGACCAAGGACATTTAGAGGTGGGAAGCATCCCCTCGGATTTTTCCGTTTTTCATGTGCCAATGCACTTACTGGAGGGTTGAATGTAGTACGTCTGAAGGAGAGAGTGGAAAAGCGTCCCGATCGCAAACGGCCTGTCAGTGATGGATCGCCGTGCGTAGGTCAATGGCTTCCGCTATTTCTCTTCGGGCTGTCTCCGCCAGAAGCGCGGCACGCATCTTGTACAGCGGGGAATCGATACTTTGCGCACACATGCGAGCGCACACGACCGACCGAAAGTAATTGTTCACGGATGCTTGCACGAATGAGTCCTGCACCAGAGGACGGCGACGATGATGATGGTGTGAGTGTGTGCCCGCATCTCGCAGAAATGCGTCGCGTATGGAAACAAACCGGACAATGGCTAATGCGCTTACGATATCTGACAGCCGTGATTAATGCGATCCTTTCCCTGCGCGCGCGACAACGCACAGCATCAGCGTGCCCAGCAATCGGAGCAATAAATGTACGGAATGCCAGAGCAAAACTAAAAACAAACTAAACCGAAACCGTCCAGCTTCTGATCTCGAGGGAGAAGAGAGCATCTTCCAGAAAATAAAAATGAAGCTCTAAATGATACTATACTATACGAGTGGGCGAGAGTTGGGTGTCCTGATAAAAAGGACATGTTCATTAGAAGTTATCGGTTTTGGTGGTACAGAATTACATCGCGTAAAAGAAAAGCTCTACGGAGAGTTTTCGCGGATGTGCAGACACTTCAGCTGCTGGTGGTGGTCTCTGACTCTGGCATGTGGAGAGTCATGGGAAAGGTGTGCGTGTGTGTTGTTCGCCGGCCATCGCCACTCCACTCTGCGCCACTCCGCGCTTGATAAAGTCTGAACGCGTTACACGACTTTCCACTTACAAGTCATATCGCATGGCCCCGATACAACGCTCACTCTACCTGGGATCGGCCCTGGACTCCGCGCCATATCGAAAAACGAGCGAAACGAATGTCGGAGCCGAGAACTGCTCACCGAAAGTAAAAACATGTAATGTGTATATATAAAATAAAATAACACAACAAGACCACATCAGAAAATATAGCACGGAATCAAAATATTATGCAGGGAAGTTGGTTTGAATTCCAGCGTCCGTTGTGTGTTGTGTTTCGGTATCCAGTTCGGTTTGATACACAGTGCCGTCGGAAGGTTTCTCGTTACCGACGGCGCAATTACACACCGCATCGAAATTACAAGCATGTAATGTCCATCGTGCGCATCGAGTGTAATGGAAAATTACAATTCTCGCGGTGTGCTGAACGGTGATAAGAACATTAAAAAAAATTCAATTAAATTCCGATTATACTGCTCTCACGAGAAGAGTGGAGAAGGCGTTCGTTCTTATCGGCGAGTGGCAAGATTATGAGAATAAATTGGAAACTAATGTCGAGAATGTTATCAATGTCATGGTTGTATTGGTGGGAAGACTCACCTGCTCGATTCGACTGGTCGATCATTGGCTGTACTATCCTCCGCCGCGCGTTAATAAACCTGTAACAAAACAAAACGCATTAAAATCCAAACATTTTTAAACGCATTGTAAAATTCACAGAGTGTCACTTTGCATCAAAGCGCATTTGTTTCGGTGCGATGGAGAACGCTAATGCGAGCCGACACCGGAAGCGATTGGGTTTTGGGAAATCGATTCCCGCCTCCCGCCATGACACAGCCCTTGGTAACGAAAACACAAACATCTTTAACTAAACTTTGCTGAAATGCTTTTGGGGTCACTCCTTCTAGTTAAGAAGGGGGTGAATTTGGACATCGTTTAGCACATGTGTCGCCCCCGTTTCGTAAACAAAAGAGTAATTGCGAATTGAATCGGTTAGGAGGTAATAAAAATGGTGCGAATCGGACCTTGGTGCTCGGGGGTCTTGAAAACTGCTCCGGCCACATGTGTTCGTGCGGCGTTTAAGCGCGCGAGCACCGCCGGTCGCGGCAATAAATTCAACGTTTAATATCTCTGTCGGGCGCTCATAAATGAGCCGACGGCGGCGGTGGTAGTGGCGGTGCAAGCTGACGGCGGCACTAACAGTTGACCCTCCCGGTGGCGCACCGGGCGACATCTGCAATCGCCCCCGAACTTCGACAACACATCAACCAAATTATGTACAGAAATTTTCGATTACTCCTGCAATTCTCATCGCATGGGGTTTAGTTTAGACTCAAGGATTTTGTGCTTGATTCTTTCATCGCTTGTTTTGATAGGGTGCGTGCGCGAGCAGAGGGCGCGTAATTAGCTTCCCCTGATCTGGAACATATTGATTTGCGCTGCAAAGTGCCAAAACAGAAGCGGCAGGAGAGCTGTGCCCTGAGCTAGTATTGTTGCGTTTTCCCAACCCCTTTCTCCCAGTCGCGTTGCGTCGCTTTCGCTCTCAGGTTTCCTCATCCATTATTACAGAGTAATCCGGCCTAATGATCGTTACTTCGACAATACACCCCGGCGCGTCGGAGCGCAGCGCAGCATTCGCCCTCAAACATAGTACTACTCCCAGCAGCAAACAGAAATCAACCCTTTTTTCTCTCCTGGAATCCAATCTTCGATTTTTCATCATTTCAGCTTGAACTGATCATCAAGAAACCACCCTTTTTCTTGCCAAACATGTCGATATCTCAACCCTTTCCATTTTCTCCCTTTCGCTTTACGATGCTTGCCTAAAGGGTGCGGGTGTGTTGTTAGTACACAGAGTCAAGAAACGATTACAAATAAACGAGTGTTATTTCCATTTCTGTTCACAATTATCGTTTCCGGATTAGGGTTTGAGCGCTGGGCGCATTCACCCTCTGCGATGATGGATCGCCCCCGAAAGGGGTGGGATTTCATTCGAAACAATTTAAGGGCACACCATTATACAACGAGCTAATATACTCCTTTAGTGGAACATCACCTCAATTCAGCTGTTGCCAGAGTTCTTAATTACAGTGAAACGACTCACACCCTGTGTCCAGAACTAATTTTGAGCAGAAAATATGTTGGCGAAATAAGAATTTGCTACACGGCAAACAGATTTCATGTCGTGAGACGTGTTCTGCTTCAATAACGAGATGAATTTCAGAAATTCTGAACGTGACGTGTTAGGGGCTTTGCATGTGTGCGTGTTAATTTGAATCGGAGAGATTACGCACGTTTCGCCGAAATTCGCGTTCGAGAGGAGCGCGCGCGCTTCATTGGAAATGCTCTGGCAGCGGGATGTTATTCCGTCGGCGGGCGGCGAAGCATGGGGTATGGAAATGTTGGTCAAATATATCATTCCGGCTTGACAGTGCAATTCTCTTATCTGCGCGCCGCCGGCAGCCACCGCGCCAGCAACCCCGCGACGGGTGGTGCTTGCCATTCGCCTCGCATTCGCCAGCTATTTTCGGAATCTCGCTTACCAGACTGATCCTGCACCATCACCACCACTAACACCCACACATACACATATTCACCGTCACATTTTTTTGCAACTTCCAGATCAATTTCTATAGTTGAAATGTAAAGTTTGTGAGTTCATGCGTGTTGATTGGACGTCGCGGATTTCAATCCGAGGATTCGCCATGGGTGTGCCAACAAAACCAACAAAACGAGTATTGTTTTACTTATATCATAATCAGGTGGTCGGGCTCGCCGGCGTGTAACCTGACGCCCGACAATATACCACACCGAGGTTGGAGGCTTGCAAAGCGCGACGCAAAGAAAATCAGCTTCGTTCGCCGTTGAGAGAGAGCTTGAGCTGGGATGTAGCGTCGCGCAAACAATGCGTGAACAACAAACAACGCGCCACGAACGTAGACGCGAATATCGATTATACGCGCGGCGGGCGCACAATGCCGCGCGCTGTGTGGCGGCAGGACGAGGCGCTTCGGCGGTATTGTTTATAGGCGCGCGACGTGCGACGTTCGATCGATTCGCCGATCGTCTTTTGTCGCGTCCGCGGCGTCAAAATTGAAAGCGCATCGTGTATCGGTCCGTACCATGCATGCAACCAGCCTTCCAAACGTTTTGAATAGCTCCGCGTCGGCCATTGTGCGATTCTTCAACGCGGCGGAACGCACAATGGGGCCCGGCTTGAATTTACAGCGCGCACGTATCGACGATGATATGTAGATAATTGAATATTTTAGAAACACACGCCGGCATTGTGCAATTGAAGGATGCGCGCAGGACAACAAATCACTTCGCACTTTACATCCCGAAGTGAATCAGTCTCTAGATGTTTGAGCGTATGTACAGTGGAACAAAAATAAAATGCGTATTGTCGGGCGCGCGCTAATGTCATCAGCGCGGTGGCGGCGCTTTTGTTGGCGCAAATAAAGCAGATAGCTTTTCGAATGCAGGCCTGGGTGGGTGGTGTACGTATCCAAATTGCATCAGGGCTGGTGTTAATGGCCCTGTCGGAATAATGGATGGAATTGCATTAAAATGTGATCTGCATGGCGCGCGCGCGCTTGTGGGGCGGCGGGCGGGTGCATTCCGCGGGCAAATGTAATTACCGCCGCCGTCTCTGCTCCGACTGCCAGTGCCACTGTTGGCGAGGGTATCGTTTTCCGAGTCCAAAACTGCGCAACGTTCGCAGCGCGAAAAAGTTTCCTGATAACTCCGCAGTCTGCTACACTCTGCTCCAATGCAGATGTTGTTTGCTACACACCCCGAAATGTGTAACTATTTTCGCTAGCATTTTCGCGCGCCAGGGAAAAATACTTTTCGAAAAAGGGATGCCTCGGTAACAGGCGCGTGACGGTTTATTTATTGCCCGAACAGTCGCTTCTCACTTTTTCCCCATATTTCGACTGTGCGCCTTCCGACGGCGGCGGCGTGTGCAGGTTGAGCATTATTTATGGCGCTTTTCCCACTCGGCGCTACGCGGCGCGTATAAAGAACGTATCATGCTGGATGGAGCTGGTAATCCCGAAGCCGTGATGTATTGATGCCGGGGCGCGCTTCTTTTCCGCCTCGCCGAGGAGGAAAAACATTGCGAAAGACGCGCGTGCAATTCCCGTGCTGGCGGCAGTTGGCGGCGGCGTCTTTTCAATTTTCAGGTACACGGTATCCAATTTTCCAACGCGCGCTTCACGCATCTTCATATACAACACCCAGCTTCACCTTGTGCATAACTTTTTGCTGCGGGCAAAACCGCGAGCGGCTCTAAATCAAAATCAAATGAATTCGGCGCGTGCGATTTTCACATGATTTCCTCGGAGACCTCAAACTTCGCTGATAAGCTTTCGCTACCATCCAGACCAGCACCTATCTTCCAATCAAACCGTTCAAGGTTCTTTGTGGGCTTTGTTCAGGGTCCGGGTTCTCATCTCCCCGGTACTTAGTTAATGGATCGCAGATGTATAATTACAAGTACCTTAAGCACGCTCGCGGGATTTCGGTCGGCGGGCGCGTCGGGTCGCTTTGCCGTGTCGAAGGGTTGTAATGATACATCCTGCTGGCGTCGTCCACATCCAATCCGGTGTTGCACTCGGCGCGAGCGGGATTCCCCCCATTTTCATTTCCTCCTCGACAATAGTTCATTAAAAAGGTGTTTCGGAGGCTATTTGGTAAGCTATTAGGTGGCCCGATATTACTCCTCCGAGAGCCATTCGCTGCGTCGCCCCCGCCGCCACCACTGCCGCCGCCGGCAGCCCGACGACAATGAAACGCGCTCGTAAATTGGCGCGCGAGACCAGACCAAGACCAAGAGACCAGCATCCCCAGGCAGATCATGAAGCAGGAAGCGAGAGACGATGTTACCCAAAGAAAGAGCGATAGGTGGAACGAAGAGCGGTGGACTTCTATCTGCTCAGCCTCAAATTGGCACCCGCACATGCATCGGCCGCAGCATTCCGGAATTAAGAAATTCGAGCGAGCGCTGCGTCGCGACGGTGGCGGCGTCAATGCGGACTTGATAAGGGCTCCCCCAACGCGGCGCGAGAACCGACGACGATTTATCACCGGGCCGCATTAACCCAGGTGAACCCCGCACACCCACACTTGTACATACACATACACACATCCTCTCGCCGCTCTCTCGCACGCCGTCAGACCGAGACAATGTCCCAGAGCGGTAATGGCTGCGCCACCCTGCGCCGCCACCGCTGCTATGAAAAATGATGATGACATGGACTCGTGAAAAACGGAACTCCCGCGGGAGCGCCCAGCATCCAGTCCCACCAGTACCACCACAACCAGCTGAAGCAAGGACTCGTTATTTTCGTCGTCCGATAACTTTTTCCAAGCGTTTCTTTCGTTTTGGCAATAACGCCGCCCGAGTTGCGTTCAATTTCCCGAGTCGCCGGATGGACCGGATGGAATTGTTTCTAATATACGATTTCGATAATTTTAAATCGATGCCGCGGGTGACTTACGATCTCGAGCACGGCAAAGAAAATGAGTGCGCCATGGTCATCCAATCGAGCAAATGGTTGCTGGAGGGCGGCGAGTGTTGACCGGTCGTAACAATGGCATCAAGCGAGCGTAACGCAACGGCCGGCGGCGTTGGTGGTGGCGGCACGTATGCGGCGGCCATTTCCGCGCCAAGAGTAGACAGTAATCGCCCTCTTCAGGCTCGTAAACAGGGCTAAAATGACCGGCGAGACGCTGCGGGAATGGCGCTCTTAATGGATTTCGGACTCTCACAAGGAAAACATCAGAAAACCGCAAGGAAAACTCGAGGAAATCGTACTTGAATGAAGTGCCACTGTGCGTCGGACATTCAACATACTGAACTCGTAGTTGTTCAAAATTTCGTCAGAGACAAAGACCAGAAGAGAAAATGCCGAACAACACGGAGGGGTTGAGAACATTGCGGGAAATGCACGGCGTGATAAACTGTTTACGTGGAATCTACGCAGCAACTTTCCGTAATGGCATTATATAAAAATCAATGGCAATTAACGCGTACGCTTCCCGAATCCTGCTCGTAATCTGATTTTCTCGGCAACATTGCGATTCAAATCGAATTAGCGTTCCCCAGCATCAGCTAGATAAAAATGAGTAAAATGCAAAACTTACCAGTTGTTGACTTGAAGTATCGTCAGGCCAGTGTCCTGCGCCAATTGCTTCTTCTGGTCCTCCGAAGGGTACGGATGCTGCAATTCAAACAACGGAAAACAATTAATCATGAATTCCTGCTTGGCGCTAGTAAATATCAGCATATAATATCTTGGGTACGTCTATGTTGGAGGATAGGAATTTGGAAAGACCTTGAGAAACATGGCTGGCGTATGGTGTGCACGCGCGAGACGAGAGAAGCAATCTAGGTAATTGGCGAGGGCGTGCAATCCAATTTCGAGCGGAAACAATGGCAGCAGCGTCGGGCGACGTCGACGAGGACGGACCTCCTCCGCGTCCTCCTCCTCCGCCGACGTGCTAGCTTCCAATCATAATAATATCTAAATGTCGTTATTACCCTACGCGACGCGTAGCAGTATGCATCCAGAAGCGGAGTGATTGCTGACTCGTTAACGGGTCAGCAACTTTTCATCTCAATAATGGTCCCCACCCTCCTCTTCATCCGACATCAAAACGTGATTATATTGCAAAATATTTTTTTGGCTTTTTTCGAGTTGCTACTCTGATCCTGGGAACGTTTGGAGTGTGCACGTTCGGGTGACGCCCGTGCACGCGTCGCGACGCCTACGAGGGAGGTTGAAATCACTGAAGGGCCGACCGTGTCGCAACCCCTTGTTGTAAGTCACACGCGCGAAGCAAGTGTGGGTGGTTTGGAAAATAGTGAAATTTGCGAGCGAAGGTGAATTACACACGTTTGAGCACCATTCGTTCCCCATCGGACGACCCCTAGGAGACCCATAACCCCATCTCTCACGGGCGAGATAACCCTTAGGAATGCGGACCGGGGTGCGGCAAAGACGCGAATGCATAGTGATTTTTATGATTATGCTGGGAATCGCGAAACGGCCTCGGCGCGCGTCTTCCTTCTCGTCCTAGACAAGCACCTCTATGTGGGTAGGTAACTACATATCCGTTTTGATGGCGGGGAAGGATTTCAATGCACCCTGGAGGCCCACTGGGTGAATATATGCACATAGCAGAGCAGGAATCATCAAAAAACGAATTTTCGTTTCGTTTAGATTTTTGTCATTTTTCATTTTCCGCTGTCAGGGATGGTCTGGTGGCGTCCGGCACGAGCGAGCCGCCAATTTTCAGTTTTTCTTCTTGCGCCGGAATTGAACGGATCGATAATTTCACCCAGCTAGGGACACTTTTTTATGATGAGAACGTATTGCTTCGGCCCCGAACATGCGGAACGAGGAAATCCACTTGGATTTTCTATATATCGAGCGCGGCCTCAAGCGGACACATGTCGGAGCCGTCCGGATAAACCGGGATAACCGAGCGTCGCCGACGTGCGCCGGAAATACTCCCCCGGCCGCTCCCTGCCAGTCGACCGGAAATAGAAGCTCGTACCCGGAAAAAAACGTTTTTCATATTTTCATGCTCGCACTGCAATGCGCTGCAGTTTTCTTTCTTAAAACCCTCCGACGATGGAGCAAACGTCCACATATCTCACGGCGACCACCCCTGCAAACCGCAAAACATCGAAAATATCCTGGGGAGTCGTTGCCTGTCTGGCTCGGAAACGAACGAATGAAAGAATGGACGATTTACAAATAGACGCACCGCAGGAATGCACTCTTCCAAAGATTCCTTCAATTCCATCCCCCCAAAAAGAAACCACACACAAAAAAAAATCATTTTCCATACGAGGGACTAATATAGACATAAAAACATCACATCCACATCCTACCAGAGATGATTGCTTCTGGGGACCTCCTGTGCTACACATTCAACTCTTGCAAATACAAGCAAAACTGTTTTTCTTTTTCATTCGCAAGCACTCAAGATGTTTAAAGTTTGTGTGTGGCACGTCATTGCAAATAGGAAATATTCGACGCCTTCGACGTTCGGAGCTGTACGCTGTGTGTGTATGGAAGCAGTTACAACACTAATGAAAATGCTAATTACGGACGATATTTTTTGCCTGTTCGTTGTCGCTGCAGTCGCGATGCAGCCGTGCCGCGCGGTTGTAAATAAGAGCGGGCGCGAGCCGGCCGTTGCCGTGATTTATGGATGCGACTGTTAAAGTCCCCCTTTAATGAAATTGCAACTGCTGCTTCGCGCCCAACACCACACACACACACACACACTCACTCAAATATAGTACACAATCGTGGTAGTGTTACTGGTGTGAAGAAGAAAACACCTTTCTTTCTTGCGACGACGACGAGTCACGTGAATGTAATTACGCCCGTGGATCGCCTACGCCGTTCCGCACCTCTGGTAACAGGAACCACGAGCAAACGGAAAAAGCTGCTTTAATTAATATTTCCAAAGCGAATGATGCACATTCCTACATACACACAAAAAACATTTTGCATTTGCATCTTCTTAGCAGCGGATTACACACAGCATGAGGATCTAAAGTTGGTTATAGTGGTGTAATTAACACTGTAAGATGGGAGCACTGGACTTGGCCAACGTTGCACAAACTGGAAAAGTAGCATCGATCGACGGGTGGAGGCGACCCTCCTCGGGGTGTACAATATCCGATGGTAGGATTAGCGCTGCGAGTTAATGAGTCGTGCAAGTAAGCCGGGATCAGCGGCATGATAGCACACAGTGGCTCCGGGTCCGGCGTGATGCATCGCTCAAATATTCATGCACTAAGTGCTCCTGCGACTCATCCAACCGATTCGGCGTCTGACCCACACCGTCCCCTCGCGTTTGGACACCAAGATGACTCGACAAACTCCAGCAATCAGCAATTTGTTGAATGAATCACCAAAAAAAGCAAAAATGGATTGTAGTGTTGTATCAACTAATTCATCCTGTCAGGTGTAACCAACCGCATGTTTGATGCTTCTGGAATACCGCGTAATGTTTCCGATCGTTTCGTGTGTTTTGAATGTAATCGGCAAGTGGTAGAGATCCGACCAGATTGAGTCGTAAGGATCGCGCCAAAGTGCCACTAAAGGCGAACGGTCTTTAGAAGCCGATGTAAACGAGATGTTTACAACAATAGCGCCGCTCTCAAACGATCGTGCTGGGAATCACGAGCTCACGTCTTCGAAACTCCTCGGCACTCTCTTTCCGTGCAGCGCAGAGGAGAAGACAAGTGAAAATCCTAGCCAAGCACACGTTTACGAGTGCGCTTACCCATTTCGCCCCTCCGATGGCGATCTAAACGATTTTTATATTTATCTGAATTGTCGGCTCGCTCCGCTGACATTTGCATAAGGATACCGGAAGTTGCAGGGATGCGCAGTTTATTTAACTCACCGTTAGATGTTGGAATAGCCACGCTCGGAGTATATTCGTAGCGACTTTCGGGAAGATGCCGCGCTTTTTTTGGTTCTTCTTTCCGTTGGTGTCGTCGTCCTCTTCGCCCGTGCCCTCTCCGCTGCCGATGCTCGCGTTACTCGCGTCACCTGCAAACATAAGTAAAACGTTAAAAAAACCACTCCCTTAGTGTATTTAGAAAATATTTTAATTAAAAATAAAGTCATTATCCCCGACCAGCAGGGGTAGTCAAGAACCGTTTGTAGAAAAAAAGCATCACATGGTATTCGCCTAATAACAATAGTTGTTTGCGTTTGGCGTGTGCCGGGGGTTGCGAATACCATGGGGGTCGTTCCAGCGCGCCGCCGACGTTGCGGTGTCGAAAAGCGGATTTAAGGGCGCTTTTGTTCTGTCCACGCGTTGGAAAACAAGCCGCAGCACTTCACGCGCGTGCAATTACAACAAAGAATCATCAAACACAAGAATAAAAAAACAATGAGTCAATTATCTACGCACGATTTTGTTATTATTATACTTAAGAAGCTCTAATACTAGTATTATTGGCATAATCAACTTTTTTTGCAAATATAAATATTCTAAATTAATTATGAACCCATAATAGTATCTGTTACAGTAGCCGGAAGCATGCAAACTGTTGGTTGTTGACGTTTGGCGGTGCCGAAAATGAGTTTTATTGCACACTGCTTTGTGTGGCATTTATGTGCGCATAAAAGGTTTAGCTCGGATCGTCGCTATCTTCATAATTAGGGTGTTTGAGTATTCCCCGACGATAAGCGGGCACCTTGCGCGTTGAGAGGCGGCAAACGCCCCAGAAAGACGCTTCTTTCAGGAGGCGACACTTTCGGCGTTTTACGAGACGCCCAACGTCTTTCGGGTGCTCGTAAAACGAGTGTAAAAGTGTCGTCCCCCGTCAGACTAATAGATTCCTAATAGTCGCACAATGACACCATCACAACAACAGGTCCAGGACTTCCGACTCCTTGAATATCATTACAACCTTCAAAAGTTACAAAATGTAGCAAAATTCATGCGACGCCATTTGCTGAAAATCACGGATATTTCTATCCCATAGCTGTGAGTTTATTTGTAAACCTGTTGTGGTCGTGCGCTTTTGTTCTGCTTTTTTGGGTCTGCTCCGCCACGCATATTTGGAATTTAACCGCGTTAGCGCTCTAGGTGATGTGCGCGCATGTTTATAATGGTGCGCGCTTGCATCAGCTCGCCGTGGTCGTCGTCGGCGGCGGCTGGTTCGGGATCGCTCTTTGGTCGAAACGATGGCCCGCAGGTCGGTGCGCGCGCTCACATATATCACGAGCGGATGGACTAATGACGGGTCACGTCACTCATCCAATCGCTGCGAGCCGGCTCATAAAAATATTACAAGTTCACCTTCTCGCGCGCTTTGTGGGATTCCGATCTGACGTCTACATTCCAAACACCCAACACAACCGTCCGACGAACGCCTGCGCAATATCCGATAACCAAACAACGAAAAATGAATACACCTTAACCTTATATTAGTATCGAGTAGGAACTGTGGAAAAAGTTCGTGTTTTGCTTCGAGAGGATGGTCAGCGATAGATAAACGATGAGCCGCAGCCGCTGGCCAAATGCGCGGTAATAAAGCGCCATTACCATATTTACATAAATTATAATAATTCACATTATATTATGAAACAAAAACGAAGCGAAACAACCGAGGTAGGTATAATTTCAGTAATGGTCGCGTCGCATCGCCTGTGTGAGCAATCTTTGTTTTTTACTCCACACCAAACGAAACAATGAAGACCAAGCACAAAAAAGACACGTTATGCTCATCCAACGAACAAAAGCTTTTCACTAATGATCCAGCAAACAATACACATTGAAAAGTGTAGAATTTTAAAAATAAAAATTTCCATCTTCATTTACAGGGTAAAATAACTTGTAACGAAGGGCTTGCAGCGCAATGACCTCCCTAAAGCCGTAGATTTGTAGACACAACAACATATTCATTCGCTTTGCTGTTTGGCGTCGTTTCGACACCTGCCGTCGTCTCATCAACGCGCGCAGCGTCGCGACGCACATAATTCATTAGATAAACCTTGCAGTGCGACTCAGTGAGCTCTTTCGAAATTTGAAATCTTCCAAAGATTGCACTAACAAGCGTCGGTCTCGTAATGTCGATTTGTATTTTTACGTTCGTCCGTCACGTGCATCTAATTATACGTCTTTCGTCTCGTGAGTGCGTCGTCGTCAAAACTAGATATCGAGTTTTGAGCCAGACTAAGAAAAGACATCGCAATTAAACGTGCGTTAAACGCTCTTGTTGTTGCTGTGAGTATACTCGGCGTCGCGTTCGCGTCCATAAATTGTCGTCGGAATCACAGTCAAGTCACCAGTAAAAGTCTACGGCGCACACGCCGCGCTCATCTTTAATGATGCGTTTTATGTTTTTGCACGACGGACATTATTTTAATTCGGTCGAGGGAAGAAAGATTCGTCCACGATGGCATGATGCCAGAATCAAAAATTAAATTTTAGATTTGTAGCGGGCGCAGTCGTCGTGTCAGTTATGCGCACATGGGGCATCAAAAGCCCTTATTATGGTGCTAATTAATCTCGTTTTTCGCGACGACAATAGCGCGGGTTTTGGCGGAAGGCTGAGTGTCGGCATATCGACGAATAATGACTAAATGAATTGCGCATTGTCTGGCGTTGGTGCTTGGCGCTGCTGGTGGAAGGACCTGTCATCCGCAGGTTTGCATGTCGCACAACCCGGTGGCGCTCAGCAGGAGAGCATTAGCATGCGCCGAAGCTTTCTATTCACGCTCTCCTGCGTCGGGTGGCGAGACCTTGGCGCGCATGGTGCGCATAAAACGCACATCGGCGGACATTGTGCGGCAAGGTAACAATTACGGGTCCATGGGAACCAATTACGGATCGGGTGATGGATGACCCAATCAGGGTATGCACCGTCGGGCTGGTATAGTACCGGGTCACGACGAGAGGTCAAGCTGGAGAAACCGGAGGAGCTCTCTCTGGCTGGGATGGAGGAAAACCTGCTTGCGGATGGAGGAAGACTTCGTTCTCGCAAGTCACTGGGCATGATGTGGTATTGGGCATATCCCGCGCCGGAGTCGTTTTACTCGTTTCGCCGGCGCGCACGTTTGCGCCGTGCGCGAACGAATGACTGGCGTCGGCGTGCGTATCGAACCGCGCGGGTCTCTTCGGCGGACGCTTGCGCCGTACGTTGCTATGGCCGCGAGGCGGGAATGCGGCTGTTGCCGGGGCAACCGATGGCCCCACCACGCCGAAGAGTTCGCGCGAGCGCGCAATAATGAAAAGGCGCCCGGTAATTTTGCGGATCAGAAATTGTTATTTTTATGTCCATAAATACTTCGTTCCGACCATTCTCAGAAAGAAAAAATTCACTCTACTTACCGGGACTGCCGAGGAAGACGGAGGAATACAAGACGCCTCTTCTGGCCGCATCACTTGCCGCCCGTGCGTCAGGAGGTGATGACCATTCTCTACGTGGACACCATTTACCTATAGGCAAAGAAAAACATTATTATAATCACATCCCATATCCTTGGTCTATAGCAGAGTCATAGCGTAATTTAAATTCTAAGATTTTTCAATTACGCGCCTTCACTTTCCTGCTTTACTGGCATCAGGAGGAGCGAGGGAAGGAGGAAGAGGAACGAGATTGAAATTACAATGCGAGGGTTTCTTGCAAGGCTCTTTGCTCGTGCTCCGCGCGCAGTTAGCGAATATCAATGCGTGTTGGTTGGGTCTGGCTGGCGCGTAAAAAAGTTGTTCCGCATCACAATGAGAAATCCGACATCTTTTTACCGCACATGCGGCGCGCATCGGCCCCGGAATATTGCGTTTACCGACCACCCGTTGAGCGCGAGCGCCCTGGAAATAACATAATCCGGCGGAACGATAATGAAACTGCGCTGCCGTCAAATTGAACGGCACTGTTATTGCCCCAACCTTCACACAGACCTGTACTAGCTAAATTCTCTCGCCCTGCGTCTGGAATGAATTTTTCTCCATGCCACCGCTCTGCTTTCTTTGAGTTGTAGAGTAGTAACGTGTGTGTATAGTATAAGGTTAGTTGGAGGCGATCGTCATCTGTTTACCATCGATTACCAGTCGCCACCAGGCTATATCGGGGCCGCCGCGCCGCGATATAACAAACCCTCGTTCGTTTCGGGAACACTCACACCCAAACACATACACACACGGACAAAACAATTCCGGCTTGAATTGGGCTCAGTATATGGCTTGTGTGAGTGTGTATTTGGATGGCTTGTATGTTTATGAACGGGCAGCGGAACGCGGTGGAACGTACAACAAACACTCGACTCCCGGCTCTCCCGCATTCTATTTCCTTCTCCCATTGCACTAATTCAATCAATAACATAACACTCGCGCACACACTGACGCACGCACACTTAACATATTCGCTCCTCCGCACAACTAATAACACATTGCCATCAGGCACGAGCAGCCCGACCACTTCAAACACGCATTACGCGCGCGTCTATAAACAATCAACTCCAATCTAAACATTTACTAATTCCCAAATTGATATAAACACGCGTAAACATAGCCGAGCGCGCCGAGATGCACGTCGCGCGCAGTGGGAGCACATTCGGACTAATTATAAGTTTGATATAACAAGACGCCATTAAGTGTTTTCCATGCTCTCTAAACAAAATCCACAGCTTATTTCCTACATTAGCAAAGTAAAAGTGAAAAAATGAAAAATTCTTAATTTTTTATTTTTTTTTTTAGGTGGTAGTAAAATGGTCCTGATGAGAAGTAGACGGCTAATAGTTGGATTGGTCTCGTTGGCGGCAGCTGCGACGCGAGGGAGCGCCGCCGCCGGATTGGTGCGCCGCCGCCCCGACGCAGCACGTCTCGCTGTCGAATTCTATTCGTAAATCAAAATTCTCCTCTCCTGCTCCGTCCTCTGCTCAATCCTACAACGAAATGACCTGCGCCAGCAAGAAAACGCCCCTAAAAACGATTTCTCTGATTCAACGACTTGTCCAATCACCACATATCTACGAAATTTGCAAATAATCGAAAAATAAAAACTAAAAATCATGTGCGACATTTCATTCATTCAAGTGTAACTGACACCCGTCATGTCTCCATGAGCGTTAATTTCGGTAGCGATTAATACCGGCGGTGCCATGTTGGTGAATTCACGATCGCAGCGAGAGACATCTCCGAACGCGTGTAACGCCGCGAGAGATGGCGTGAAAATAACGATCAGTCATTGTCAGAGGAGAACAGGCGTGCGCGCGCGCGGCGCGAACTGTTACTTAAGTCGCCTAGCCGCATGGCGCGAAGCGAAAATGATTGATCCGCGCCTCGCATGCCTCGAGACGAGATCGTCGGAGTGTCGAACGTCGAGGACGTGGTGTTGGCTGTTGAATAACGTCATCTCAACTAGACTAGGCTTTCGCTAGGATATGACCTGCCACAATATGGACTGCACAGGCGGTTAGCCCACCCTGGTGATCATATAGTCAAAAGTCATCATTGGCATCCTAACCATACATTCTTTTTTAATGTGCTGTGATGTGTGTTGTATCGGAGACACGCTGGACGTCAGTGGACATTATACAAGCCGAGTTATAAATCACGCTCGGGCGTCATATATTTATTAACGACTACTTTACAGTCGCCCGAGAGACGGACACGCACGCACAATGTGCGCCCACGGCTAATGATGACACTTTTGTGTCTCCGCATCATCCACACACACACACACACCGACAATAGATGTAATTTTTGATTGCTAGTTTTCACTTTTAATTTGACCACCCACATATTCAAAATAATTGGAAGCATTTAGAAACCTTTTAATCGGTTTTTCGGTTTATATGAATTCAATATGACAAAAAACACAAGACTAGTTTGTTTGACGTCGGTCGCGCGTTCATAACTCTCAAGCAACGGACGTCTTTATATCGTTATATTTATGAGACCGATTGAATCGGGGCAGGCTCGACCCTCGTTGCTGTTTTTCATGCTCTTCATTTTGCGTTCCGACTTCGATCGCCGATTGCTCTATTTATCTGAACTGGAATTGTATAAGGTGGACTCGCCCAGACAAATTAAACGCGCGGCGCATGCGACGAAGAGAAAGAAACAGTTTTCTTATTATTGAACCGATCGAAGTCCACACGGCCCAGCTCACATAGTAGGTATATAATGGTCTCCTTTGCTCGGAGTTGAGTCGGATGAGTATTATGCGTACTATTCGATGTGTAGTTACGAGGAGGTAGCGCACCATGACCAAAGGTATGTACTCTCAATGATGGGATATCATGGTATGGCATGGAATGTTTCCCCATTATAATTGCTAATCGGGCATAGAGAGCTTCGATGGTTGAGTTTATGACTGCGCGGCGTGGATTATCCAAAGGAGCGTAATTGCCATCGTAGATCTCCACCATTGGAGTCATTCTTTGATGGGTAATAGGTCATTCAATAGCGGGCATCTCATGACTTAATGATGGCTTGCAATGTTATCTTGTAGTTGTGTTGTGTAGCAGCGTGGGCGCGACTGCTTGCAAATTTCAAATCGTTTCAAGTTGTTAAGGAAGAGTTGGAGAGATAAAAGCGCGATTTGTTGCCGGTAACGAGGGCGCGGTCCGTACGCCGGCGGCAGTGTCCATCAAAATCGAGAGGAGGGCGGCTGAAACGGATCCCCCCAAGGCGGGATATGCCGTCGGCGTGCGCGCAAGCGAACCGACGAACGGCGGCGGCGGCGGCGTTGGCGGCGCGCGCAACCCAAACCTTTCCGCGGAACGCAGCCACCAACACCGATGCAGGCGACACGGGGGCGACGGGCGGCGATGGTGCTGCACGCCATCTTGCACAGCAATCTCCCAAATGGCTACGGCGATAAGCGGAACGGTAATTGTAAAATGCACATCCGTGAAATTGGGTGAGTGACGTAGTAAAACTCCCCTCTTTACACTTGGAGCAAACCTTACTCAAATCAAGACCATATAAAACAATCGGATGAGTAAACCCCGAGGAGAAAAGAATTACAACATGAAATGTTCGTTTATATTGCAGTGTCCTTCGTAGGAATCATAAAAATCAGCTGAGACTCGCGAAGGGCACGAGTCTGGCTCATCGAGGTCTTTGAATGACGATGACGCGGCACGCGGAAGCGTGGCGACGGTGATAAAAATATCCATAGACATTTTCGCCAGACAGACACACGACGACGAAAAACATAAACACGCACGAATGGAACGCTTGAAGCCGCGACAAGGCACGAACCACCACCACCAACAACCCGCCGAGACCCTCGAAACGCAAGGGCCGCCGCGACGTGTATAATATAATAAAGTGACGTTTTCCGTGATGGGCCCGGACGGGAAAATCGATATCCACGTCACGGGCAGGCGGCAGCTCGCGCCCGGTCTGAACCGCCACCAGCTACCACCACCACCAACACCCGAGTGCCACTGACAGACAAAACTGTATTTGAGGATTTTACCCAGGAAGCACAACATTTTACAACCATCAACCAAGTTCACAAAGTCTGAATTTAACCCCCAAAGAACGATGATCGATAATAAAATATTTCTGCAAGTCATTTTTCGACTAAAATGACCTGATGCCATACAAACTACATATTGCAACCTACGGCTTTCCGTCGAGGATATTTATATAGTGTCGTAATCGCGATGCAAGATCGCAACGCATCAGCTGCTGCCAATTATATCACATGATAAGCTTGTGCGCTGCGGCGCTGATGGTTCTGCCGGGTCGTAAACCCGCCAACTTATGACCGCTCTTCATGTCCATTCGTTGGGTCGCGCATAAAAACGGTATTTAATCGGTCTCGCGGACTCCCGTGATTCGGCATAAATATCAACTGAGTTTCTACGCCAATGTAATTAACATCACATGTTGAAAATTACGAATTTCTCCAAATTGCAACAATGTGGGTAGATATTAAGTCTTAATATTTATAGTCAGGGAAGCAATAGTTGCGCAATAGATAATTATGCATTATCTTTGCATTCGCGTTGCATCCTCCTCCATCTTCTAATAACGTGTCTAATGTGTTGTTGCTGTTGGGTCTCGGAAGCGAAGTGCGCCTCTTATTTAGCCATTCCGCTAATGCCTTAACTACACATTATACTGTCGCCGTAATTAAAGTTAATGCGTACGTTCCCGACGCCAGCGTGCACGCTTTCCCGATGCCACGAGTTGGGAGAGCGTCGTGCGCTAATTAATTATTCAATAAAACGAATTGAACGCCGACGCCAACGACGGACGCAGCGCCAGAGGTCTTGATTTTAATGCAGAATGTCGTAAACTCGTAAAATGCCCGCTTGGCATCAACAAATCACGCATTGCGTACTAAATCGCCATCAAACTTCAATAGTTTATGTCAATAAACGCTCGAAAGTGGAAAATCGATCAAATTACGCCGGTATAATCCAATAAATTGCGTCGTAAATTAAATTTTTGATTCGGTTTGTTTCATTTTCGTCTGATTATTATTAAATTAATATGCAAATAGTTCAGGTGGTTCAAACCGTTTTATTATCGAGAGATGAACATGCGCATGTGCAGCTGGCGCTTCCGAATTGCGACCACGCGAAACAAACATTAGCGATTAACCAAAAACCAGTACAAAACCAACGAAAGAGGCAAACAATTAATATCTTAATAACAGGTCTCCTAATATCTGATCATAATAGTCATTAAAGAATAAAACATTAATAAACGTTTTTTTAAGTCGAGCTTTCTACTGAGCAGAAGAAAACAAAGTTGCCTACGTTACACCTCAACTTTTCTTCAGCTAACTTAACTCCCCACTACAAAAAGCTTGAATAAGAACTTCCACAGTATGAGTGATACACTTGCGGTTATTGTTGTTATTGTTATTGGATTATGTAAATCTGAACCACCGAAACATAAAAAAAGATGTTTTCTTGATGTGGCATAATGGACAGAATTGTAACACGATGAATAATAATAGAAAAACGTAAAAAAAGTTGAATTGCATTGGTAGAAACGTAATAATGTAGTCAGCGGCTGAAATGTAAAAATGTAAATCCGTCCGGGCCGAAAAGTTGGTGAGTTTCATTCATGTCATTCATATTTATGCAGATCCCAAAAGTCCCAAAGCACCGGCATGGCCATTACACGAAAATCTACACGAAACATCTACACTTGTCGATTTTATCACATGATTACACTAAACATTCATAATTGACTTTTTAGAAAAAACAAAACTTTTATTTTCAAAGAAATAATTTGAAATTAAATGAATCTGAACAGAATGTAAATTTAAAGATGTTTGTTTTGTTGTTTACCGGTAGGCGAAAAGGCGGTAGGCGCATGTACGTGACCGATTATCATAATTAATAAATAATAAATTATTCGGCGTTCGGTAATTAATATTACAGGCCTCGCGCGCACGCCGGCTGCTGGCTGGGCCGAAACTTCTCTCCTCGACACACGCGCTCATTGCGCTCTCAGTTTATTAATGATAGATGCGACGTATAGGTGTAGATTATTTATGGGCGTGAAGAGTTCCGCGCGCGCGCGCGCCCGAGCCGGAGAAAACGTAACGTAAGTACACATTATACACATTACGCTAATAAACACATTGCCCATGCTGGCTGTGGGCCGTGATTTTCCTATTTCACTGCAATACCAAAACAACGCGGCGGCGGCCCAGCCGATGCAAATGAGTATAAATATCGGGCGTTGAGATAGTGCGCCTCTATATCATAATTAAACAGTGGCGTATTGATATAACCGTAATTTAGTGCTGTTGATGTATGCTCGCGCGCGCCGAACATCATCCAACCAACTAACTAACACAAACTCCGACGGAATGTTATGTTGCATGTGCTAACTCACATCAACAACAAAAAATACAACAAGATTTAATCTCGTAAATATCATGTAAAAATGATGATAGTTTATAGTTATTAAAACAATGACAATAAATTACATTGTATGCAGAGAAAAATGCTATAAAATGATGAATACATTTGTAAGTATAAATTCTTTGAATACTTGTAAAACAATAGCCAGAACAATTACAGTGTTCATCAGCTCATTACAATTTAATAGTTTTTGTATTCACTTGCGCATCTTGATCATGATTCGCTTTATTCACGTGTAAATTTACGATTTTGATTGTTTTCTCAGCGTGAAATTTTTGGTTCGTTAGATAACTAGATTCGATTGTTTGAAGGTGGTGGTGGTGTTGCAAGTAGATAATTGTAATTGTGGTAATTCCGGACGAAAACAATGTATTGCGTGCGGTCGCGCTTGACATCAACTCGGACATAACAAATTGACATTCAAATTACTCTCTTTTCCTACCCACACACCAATACTTTAAACATTTAAACCATTATCAACCCAATATATCATTAAACAACTCAATCGTATAATTATTATAATAATAATATTCTAATATGATTGACAACTTTATAAAATTCTCAACTTTTTGCTTTTATTTTCCGTTCGGTTGAAGCTTGTTAACGTCGGTTGTGTTGTTCTTTTTGGGGGAATTTTTCAGTCATGCGATTCACCTGTTAGCGTCGATTCCCTCGCGAGTTCTAAAAAAACGCGCGCGGGCACTTCGTGTTCTTGGGCAACCCCTAAACAGATTTTAATGCGCGCCCCGAGTGCACACCGAAAACAATGAACTCGAACCACCACACCACCATCGCACACATTCAACATACCAAGCACTGGTGGTTTATAGTGAATGTAGGTTGTGTGTGGTTTTTTTTTTAACAAAAAACTATAGTGTGTGTCGAACCACATGACGATGATGTTTTATGGCCGCGAGCGCGCGCGCCGCACGAATTTTTATGCCGTTTTATTTTCGCGTCTTCTCTCCCTGGGCCTTGGCGTCCTCTCGTTTTTAATCTATCATAATAATAAAATTCTTTACGACGCGCACGTTACGACCCTTATCGAAGAAGATCGGCTATAAAGTCGTTTAAATAAAATAACGCACACATACAGCATGGAGCTGGAACAGCTTGCGAGAGTAAGAAATCGTAAAAAATATAAAGAATAATAAAAGGTATAGAAATATGAAGAAATGTACAGCTTATAGGCAGTTACAGCGCACGAGCACTGGGAGCACTACTTGTAGTTTAATCAACTTATAAGCAAGTGAATTTTTGTTTTGACCACCGTAGTGACGAAAAAATGCAATCAATATTGTTTGAAATGTAAAATTTCGATGATTTACGCCTTGTTTCACGCTCATATTACATCTACAATAAAACATATTCCGGCTGAGTGGTTGCAAAGTAATTTTTGACTGTTTCCAAGCGTTTAATTTCACTTTTCATGTGTCCACCGTTGTTAGCAGTGTTTATTTAGTTTCAGGTGGTCAAAAATGCATAGGTGGTTTCGATGACCACACGTCGCGCTCGCATTTGAACACACAAATGTAGAGCAAACGATCTCTACTGCCAATATTGAACGAATGCGAAATTGGTCGAGCCAAAGAGCGCAGCGCGCGCGTCAGTCACAGTCACGCCGCCGTTCGGATTTCACGCGTTTTGCCAGCCTTCACTTAACGCCTGTGTAATTAAAACCTAACCGCTGCGAGCCACACAAAAGCAATAAAAAAGCCCGCCTTAGAGTAGCTACGCGCATGCAGAAACGCACACGCGGGTATTCAAAAGCATGAAAATCAATAAAATAAATTGATTTGTTTAGTGTACGAGTACCTACGTGTAATCAGTAATCAGTAAAAATTATGCTAAGTGAATAAACTGACCAAACATTGATTTGATATTAATTATAATTTACCAATTGTTTATATGTTGATGTATACTGAATTTTTGTTCACCGGAAAGATAGTTGTGTTTAGAAGATATTCAAGTGAACATCTTCTTAGGGTTCAAGGCACGTCACGCCTCTGATGCGACCGCAAATAGATTACGTGATCGGGTCGGGGCGCAGAAAATAGCAACCCTCCACGAACCGCTTTTGGTGATCGCGCACTCCCAGAATATGAACACGAACGTGTTACAATCATCCGGCATGCGACGCACATATTTATTATTTCATTATCGCGCAACTTGCGTTCGGTCTAATACATTTAGTGTTTTCGGTGCGAGGGCGCACACCCCAAAAAACTCATAAATTTATAGCACCGGCTAAAACTTACAAAATTACAAGTTTCGCACCATTAAAAACACGAAAAAAATACGGCACGATTAGAAAATTGAAAAAAAAAAAAGTTTTATTTGAAAATTTTGCTATAATTAGTTACGTATTTTATTTATCACTAACTTTTAAAATTTTTAGTGTTATCCGTATTTAAAAGAGGAACAAAATGTATAAATATTACCTACGAATTTTACATAATTTCGATAATGCTATCGTAACTAATTTAACTAAATTAGAATAATTTAAGGTTTACAAATAATATAGTGTAATTATTTAAGTAACAAAACATCGTCCAACGAACAACACGTGTTTGTAATAACTGAGATAATAAATAAAAAAAAGTACCGACGAGTAATGATACATAACGCGCATATTAAATTATGGTGTATGTTAAGTTGCATAATTTAAGTAATATTATTCAGTAGTCGCGAGATAAAGTATAGTACTCATCTATTACTGACATTAGAAAACAACACTTACTCAGATCAACTCGCTAGGGATAAAGGAGAAGAGGATGCATCCTGGCTTGAATAAGTTCATTGTTCAAAAACCACTTACCCATGGCATCTGTAACAAACAAATCAAAAATTAGTAAGATGTATAAAAAATGTTTTGTTTTGAAAATTGATTTTTGTTATCCTCTCGGGTTGGAAATTGTTTGCGTGCTGGTTTTCGTTTAACTGCCCCATCACACACCCACTTTTGGCACGACTAGCACCGAACTCATTTACTTTTTGTCGATTTCGGTACACACCGCGGTCAATAAGTTCATCACTAACGACGTGTGCAGCGTGCACACCAGTGAATGAACAAAAACCGACAAACTGCATCCTCTGGCTGTGTGTAGTAAGATATGTAAAAAACTAGTGCGCGGTAGCTGGTTGCTTTTTAACGCCACGCATTCGGCCCGCCGCGTTTAATTAGATGCACGTGTTTTTTTTTTTTCGAGAGTAAAGTTAAAGTTGGTCAAAGTGAAAGAAGGGTTCGCAATTACGAATGTGTCCCGAGGAGGAGGAGGCGCACACGTTTTCATACATAACAAATGAAGCTCGAAAGTTATTAACTTCTTTTAAATGGAACGAATCCGAAGGAGAAACAACACTCATCGGTGTGGCTGTGGGTATCTTTGAGTGACCGAAGCAAAGCAATTGGAAATTGCACATTTGCCCGGCTGAGTTCGCTTGGAATTCGCATAATGCGTGCGTTCATTCATATCTGAAAATGCAAATGACCTTACTACTTGCACTGCGTTTCTTCACTGTTTGTGAGTTGCAACAGACTTCGGAGCCGACGAAGTGCAAAATTGTGTTTCAGTTGGAAACATTGGTAGCATGGCATTCAGTATTCGCCATTCCACGTTTCTGGCTCCGACAAAACTAGCAGTTTGGTTGGCCGCTTGGTTGGTTATTATCGAAGCACCGGCATTCCATCAAATTAAGATTACAATGTATAATGCATGTTCGTTCAGAGAGCCAGGGCGAACGCGACGCGATTTCCATTATTATAATTCCGGGCGCAATAAAATGCAAATGTCGCGGAATAATTCAATATCGAGTCGGCCGGCCAACGACGACTAAATATTCAGACCGTCGACTTGAAAGCGGCAGCCGCTGCTCGGCTGATGCACTTAACTTTTAAGCAATTTTAACATTTTTCTTAATGGGTAAATTCCAATTTATAGACAATTTTGAATCAGTGCATTTTTTCGCTGTTGCAACTCTTTTTTTATTATTATTTGGCGAGTTTGGTTTCGGTTTGTTGTTTTTTCGGTACGTAATCTTCATTTATAGACGCCAGAAAGCAGCAAACAAGGGAGCGAGCATTTAACCGGACGATAAATCACGATTAAAGTGCAGCCTCGGAACTAAAACTGAAATCCCTTCGAAATCCGCTAAAGTTTAATGCATCCAGCTAGCCAAAATGCCACGATGAGCCAATGCAGTGGAAATTTATTATTTTTACGTTTTTGTTGTGTCCAGAGAATCAGAAATTAATGATGCGTGGGTTGATTAACTAAATAACAGTCAAATATTTATACGTTGTTGGAAGGTGATAACAATATCACCTCAATTTTCCACCCTCTGATGAAATGGCAAACAACAATTGCTTTTTTAGATATTTTTGCATGCATTTTGCACCCACGTTAACGCATACGTAATAATTAGGAGGCAAAATGGTTCGGCACCGCTAACGGTGCCATTATCACCACCCTAGGCAGACTAAGCAACACCTAGCAAAGCGGAAAAAAAACGGCAAGACGCTCCCCAGGTCGTTTTTTTCGCAATATCATCAAACGACCAAATGACTAAAAAAGGGCGGAATATAATGCTATCAAGTTGGTTGTCCTGAACCGCCTTCCTTATTTCCTCAATTCCAGACACAACGCCATGTTCTAACTCAATGCTATTGAAGTAGGTAGGTGTTGGTGAAAACATTTATTCATTTATCGAGGTGAGTTGCATCTACCAGCTTTTGAAAAGGCATGAAATAAGGTTGAACAATGGCGTTTTCGAAAGGGCAACCCCCTTTTGCTAATGGTGTTAATTAACGCTTCTCGTAGCAATTCCAATTGTGGCGCGATTGTAATAATACGCGTCCATGTTTCGGCGTAATCCATCAATGGATGAAGGTGCGCAGGTGATGGTTCCCGTGCATGTCGGCGTCGCATTCGCCACCCCCGACCGCCTTCGTGCTAAACGTCGGGCGCATCAAATCAAACCGAGAGGAGGAACATCACACCTCCGCGTTTGGTGTGCATCGTCACGCGATGTTCATTTCGAAAAAGATTAATAACCGTCACCAACACACCACCATCACTGCTACATTTCGAATTCTTTGCGAAATCGATAAATCGCAATTGTGCAAAACATTGCAGCCTAATGATGCGCATCGTAAAATGAAAACGTCGCAATAAAAACAACTCTAATCATTTGTATTATTGCAAATTCACGGCCCGCGATACGACTCGCCAGTGTTTTATTATATTAAGTCGGTTTTACTGTCTTAGCCTGCGACGCCTTGCGCCAGTAAGATCTTCACCGCCACATCGGAAGTCTCGAGTGTCGAATGTGTAACGTCGCTATAAAGTTTATGTCTCGGCCGTTACGCGCGAATCCCTTCCGTTTACGCGAACGCGCGCTGTCTGGACGGAAGGATTTTTCCCCTGGCCGGCGGGTTGGTCCTTGATGGTTCGTGACGACACCGTGAGGAGTACTACAGAACGCCTCGAATCGCATTATTACAGCTACGAGGCGCGTAATGGCCGCTCGCGTCGCGTAAAAGTACAAAAGCGAAAAGTAAAGATGAAACACGAGCACCGCCGCAATGCCTGAAATAACAACGGTACAGAAAGCGTTTGTGGTCGAAAAATTTTCGGATGGAAAACATCAAAAACTATGAAATACAAGACACGCATTGAGAAGATTTAAAGACTCCGCGAGTCATATGTTTATTTGCGCTGCGCTTTGTGGCGCTGATTTTACGAATGCATAAAATCTTTTTTGATCTCACAACTTCTCCGAAATAAATCGTTTGTTGGCGCGCGCAAAGCAAAACCAAAGCTGTGTGTTTCGAATTTAGTGCATGCGCGCGCTGAATTTGTTGGTGTTAGTAAAGTAGTTGCAACCCCCTTCTTTGTGCGCTCGTTGTTCCCCCCGTTTCGGTTATTTAAAACTGGCTTGTAGATAAGAGAGCCCCGACACCCAGCTCGGAGCGTCGGCTTGTTATCTTGAGCCAATTTAAAATGTTCATTAGGAGCGCCGGGGAAAAAGGGACCCGGGCATGATGAATCGCCCCGGTTCGGTTACGTGGCGCGAGAAACAAAAGAATATCTCCGGCGCGCGTGGAGACGCGGTCCAATATCTTAATTAAAGTTGCCAATTTATTCCCTCGGCGATGCGTCCGCGTCTCTAACGTTGTGCTCGCCACTTTTTGCATTCATTCCATTCGCTCCCGACCGTGGCCGCGGCCCTTTTTGCGTGTTTTTAATTTTCGAGACGAGATAAGAATGCGCGAAACAAAAGACACCACGGTGTTAGTGAGAGTGACGAGCGTTGTTTATGCGCTGGCATCTCGGAGCGGTGTGACAACAAACACGAAAAGTAAGAAATAGCTCGCCAAATTGGACAATTTAAAAAATAATGTACACCCCAAAAAGTGTCGCTATTCTTTTCGTTTCGGGCCCAGGAACGCACAATGAATGAATAAGTTATTAACCGAAAACAAGCGCACAAGGCGCAAAAAGAAACGAAACCAACGAAACGATCTCCATTGGGAATACGCCGAAAGAAATAACACTCGATGAAGGTAGAGAGGAAAAAGTCACTCGAATTTGCTACTGACAATTTGTTTTTATCAAGTTGACAGACTAGCAAATGAGTTCAACAAATAAAGAAACTACTTAGAGGAGCAAAACAGAAAAGTCAATACGTGTACACTCCTGAATAGAGACCAAAGCAAAAGCTAAAGTTAGAACCTTAGAAATTTAGAACTAAGAGGTGTTGTAGAATGAAGATTCCTTTCCTTTGATGATGATATCAATAATGAACAACTCGCGGCAAGACGCAGGAAGCGTCAGAGCATGTCGTATCAGGCGTTTTCCTTCCTCCGGTCTTCTTATCAGCAGCCTCAACGCCTAAGAATAATACGCATTCAGGAATCCAGATGTCATTCACCGCAAACACGAAATATTCACTTTATCTGCTAAAAATTTTTATAGTGTGGTCTGCAGTGTAAAAATGTAGATTGTAAGCTGCACCCCCTCAATCAATGCGCTCTCCTCATTTCGTATGTATCTCGAGGACGATTAATCAAAGTCACGCCGTGCGCCGCGCAAAAAAAAAAAGAAACGACAATGCGATCTCGATGTCAATGTCGTCGCTTACCCACCCCTTGGTATAATTCACTAATGGTCGAGGCACTTGCTATCGGCGCGCTTCACTTTGAATTTCAAATAAAACTCGGGGGTGTTTTTTACGAGCGCCGCGAACGCTGCAAACGCCCTCGTTTCGCACGCACTTTGCCCGCCGTAATGGAAAACAACGTTAAACTGCGACTGTGACTCTTTGGGAGCATGAGGGTGTCCGCATTGAATGGACCAAGAACTAAGGGTGGCCACGGGCGCATCCTATTCACGCAACAATTCGGCAAACAATGCGCATTTCGCGCATTGTTGTTGTGTTGCGGTCCGGCGTCGAGCGTGAAACGTACAACGCGACCGGTAACTCGATTGTTGCCCAGCTTGAAGTGAGCGATAGGGGTTGCCCGCTGGAGGGATGAGATGGAGTGCCATCGTGGAATCGAAGTTGAAGTTGTAGTTGAAGTGTGCTTGAGAAGCTTCGAGAGCTGGGAGATTTCCTGGAGCTCGAGAGCAGATTTGCGACCGAGGAAATGTTAGCATGTTGCTGTTCTGTTGGTGTCTCTTTCGAGTACACTCGATGTACTCACGCAACAAGGGTGCGTCGTGGTGCATATTTTTCAATTCGATATCAAATTACCCTATTTAGCATCAATTTGTGGCTTGCATTGAATTTTAATATCGCGCGTGCGGGCAGTTAGCTATCAACTAGCGCAAAAACCGCAGACTTCAAGGGTTTGCCACAATAGAGTCGAGTTAAAGTGCACTTCGAGCAGCTTGGCGCGCAAGTTTTGCGGTGAAAATATAAATCAAATGTTGTGTGTTTGTTACCATTTGCGGTTGTACACATTCGCTCAAAGTTTCGTAAAGACCACAGACCGCACATGCGAGCACATGCTGTGTGTTGTTGTTTCTTACAAATTTCCGAACGCCCTTCGTTTAATACCGAAGAAAACTTAATGCGCGCTTAATAACGCCGTCGCTGCGATAAAACGCGCGCCAGCGGCGATGCGTGTCGAAGGGGTTCTGCGTCTAAGATTCTGCGGTTTTCCGCCCGCCGAAAAGAGACGCGCAGCGCATCCAAACGCGAACCGACGTTTCCTTATTCCGCTTTCCGCATCGCCGACTTTACTCAAGCCTCTCCTCCCGCACAATGCATCGAATGATGCTACAAATGCTACAGGAAATGTTCTTTCGAAGCACTACCAAACACCGTCGTGCAGGAAGAGGAAAACTCCCTAATTTTCTACTACAAGGAGGGTGCCACTCAAATCCCAAGGAGTAAAATTCAAGACCTCAAAATACGTTCGATATTTTTACGCATTTTTAATTTTTGCATGAGTGAATATTGACTTTGATGCGACTTGATGGCACATTACGTAACCGAAATGCGTTTCCGAAAAGGGGGTCAAGTCTAAGCGCGGAGGACCCTTTGCGTATTGCCAACGCAGCAACCACCAACTGCAAACTGACACATGGGATAATTGTTAATGCGCTAATGCATTAATGCGTTATTGCATTACGTCGAAGCGAGCATCGGAGCGTCGACACCCCAAAACTACCGACGACAAATTCGATTAAGTTCATCCCGCAGCCCTTGCAATCGCATTTTGCAACTTGCAAAACTCATGAATAAATGTACAAAATTTCCTCCACCCAAACAACATTTGAATTCATTCGGTTGCATTCGCTGTACACTATGGGAAATGATGAATTAGTTGAATTATTTTTATCGTGCCTCCGGTCAAGCAGCTATCTTATCTTGACTTTGATTGATTCGAAATGCACCCCGTTCGGATCCAATTCGACTTTATCAACTTTTGACTGTCGAGAAGAAATCAACTCGCAGCAGCTGCATCTTGACCTCCGGCGAGTTGACCCACGGCGAATTCTAAGAAAAGGTTCGTCTCGTTCTCATAGACTTGGCGTAGACTTTTCGACTTTTAGAGAGTCGTTAGATAATTTTAATTAAGTGCGAACGAACGCCCGATCTAACAAAACACAAAATGTTCATTAACGCATTGAGTATTAGTGATTATGGTTATGTACAAAAATACATTTGCCTAATTTCACATTCACCATTAGCCGGACTTTCAATTAACATAATTCATCCAGCGTCGATGGCTGCCTGCATAAACAACATTAAGTAATAACCATGTTAATAAAAATTACTCCAGCGTGTGTGTATGCGTATGTTTTGAATTTTTAGGGTTTCGCATTCGATCAAGTTTCGGTGTCCATTACGCAAGTGGCAACATCAGGACTTGTTATTAATCGGATTATCATCTATGAGTCGTGCGTAATTAATGCCGTTATCGCGCTCTGGGTAATTTAACGTCACCCCAACATCGGCTGAATAGAGGATCCGGCGAGAGTGGCTGCGTTCACATATCAGCGAATCTATGAATACTACGCGTGTACCGTGCAGTGAGGGTGATTTTACACTGTTATCAATAGGCGAACCCGCGGCTTAGACGTGTCGAGTCATCCGAGCATCGAGAGAAAGTGGAGTGCGCAAGGCATTGACATTCAACCCTACTTTGTGTGAGCGAAAATCAGTCATTCGAACACGACACTGCCACTGCTCGCGGATGTATGGATGTAATACATCATCCGTCACATTACATCTGAATAAAAGACGAATAAACAGACGACGCGTGCGTTTCACCCTCGAAAATTGCACTTTGTTACATTCTACGACAGAAATTTTTCTTTAAAATAAAATGAAGTATAACGTAGCGTGGACTAGCCATAGTTAAACTTGTAATTTCATTCTGGATGTGTGTGAGTGTGGATATAGCAATCATAATCAAACATCGTTTTTCCGTGCGGTGGATATCGGCATCGCATTACCGCATTACGCGGCGACGATGTGCGCTCCCGACATTCAACTCCCAGCGGTGATGTAATGGACGAAACGGTGAGTTAATGCGCTCCGACGCATTATTCCGTCCCGGGCGGTAATTAGACAGGCAGAAGGACCGCGCACACGATCGCGATCGCTAATGCATTACAGCGCGGGCAATGCGGTGGAAGAGAACGAAAAAAAAAACAATGTATCGACGTAATATAATAAAGTGAAGTAAATGGGGCATTAGTGCGCGCCGGACTACAAGCCCGAATCGCGCTTTAGATTTTCGACGCTAATAACGCAAATGAAATGTATTTCATGCCGATGACGTGGCGCGAGCATTGGGTAATTGAAAACGCACCACTACCACATCAACAACGAACGCGGGGCTAATGAAGAGTTTGCGCTTCTTCAGATTCTGTCGCAGCGATAACGCTAATGGTTAAATCGATACAACATGGGTTTATATTCGGAATCTTGATAAAAATGCACAAATTTACTTGTTTTTATCAACGCGTAGATAAAAACTAATACACAATTGTTTCATCAGGTTTTGATAGGTGTGAATATGATTGATGCTTACCTGGATCCTGGTCGATGGTCTGCTGCGAGGCGGGTGGCTGCGAGAGGGGGCCCGGGGTGCCCGGCGAGCGCACATCGTCGTTCACCGGACCCCCGTACGAAAGCGACGAAGAGGGCGGCCGCTGCAATCAGAAGAAACACTGATGACAAATAGTCTCATCTAAACATTTCGTTTGCCTAGCCTACGTGGTCAACACTTATGCTACAGGAGGAAAAAATCAACGTATACTCAAACTAAAAACATGGAATTGGAGAAGGAAGTGTAACAAAAGGAGGTTAAAACAGAAAAACCCCAAAAAAATGAATATTATATGAGCATCTGCGTGTCATAAAGATATGTGTGCACTCGAGGGGGTGCGTGTGCCGCATCTCCCTGGAGTGGAGCAAACATGACACTTCACTTTCGCTATTCCCTTTTTCCATCATTTCCCTTTTCTTATCCAGCATCATACTCCTTGGAGACATTAGAAAAATCGACAAACACTCTTCGAAAGTCAAACCACCACTATTTTTTGGTGCCTGAAATATGATACGCCACCGTCGTAGCGACTAATGAGCCAAAAAGGAGAACCAAAGCCCCAAGCCCAAAAACGAATGTAATCCAAAACCTCTCTCTGGTGCGTCTGTCTCCCTAGAAGCCCGCGCTCTCGGTTCCCACCGAGATGCAAACGTCCAAAAAAGCGCGTCACGCCAAAAAAGCTAAACTTCCAATGTTAGAGATGTCTCATTGGTACGCGGCGTAAAAAAATAATTACTTGTTATTTATCTACCACGTTTGTGTTCGCTGCAATCGGATTCGTCACGTTCGACCGTCGCATAAAACACATTCGCGGCCGCGCAATGAGTGAACGTAATTAATATGAATATATGAGACGCGCGAAGAAATTGTTTTCGCATCCATACAACGATCACTTCGCCCGTTTTATGACTGTGTCTTCTCAGCTGCAGTGAGTTACATAGCTGACAACACAATTAACTCGTAAAAAGGTTACCTGCAAGTTGCTGTTACGCTCATTTGCTCAAAGTTAAGCTGCGCACTGAAGGACAGTCCTCAGCTCATAATTAACAGTATAACATCAAAATTGCTGTTTTAGCCTAAAATATTATAGCATAAATCTTGGTATGAGAGATGTGGATTTAAATTAAAAGCATTGAAACGTCCTTGGACTTTGCACTTTTGACTTTCTCAGGTGTCTTCTAGTGAGCGTCGCACGTAATATGCTGCACGGTTAATTATCCGATTATGGGGGTGCGCAAAAAGCGTTCCTGTGATGCCCATACATGATGGCAACGCGCAACGCGCAGGAAAAAAACGTCGACAAAAACGCACGTCGAGTTAATTAAAGCGCCACCCAAAGTCGCACCTCGCGTCTCAAATCTGCCACATACGAAAACGAAAAAGCGCACGTTTAAAACACGCCCGTAGCACACACAATACGAAATAAAACAAGATACATGTTGCTTAATTAGAAATCGGACTTTATAGTCTTAATTATAAAGTTATGTACGTTTTGCGCGCGTACACCTGCTCGCAATGGGAAAAAGAGTTTTGATGATATTTCGCGCGGTGTGATTAAAATGTGCATTTATGCAATGTGCAATTTGTTTCTCGGGGCACGTAGCGTCGATTAGCGAACTATTAGCGCTACGCCAAATCGTTATTTAATGTTGTTGCGCGTGCCGCGTGCCAAACGCTTTGGCATGCGCAAATCGATGCAGGTAATTAAACATTTATTATTCATCTTGACATCATACAACATCGAAAAAAACCCAAAGATATTATCAAGTGATTTTCGTAATAAAATAATATGAAAAGCAGCAGTTGTTCGGCGCAGTCAGTCAGTGGGTCAGTGTCAAGTTGCGATGTTGTTGGGAGAGAAAGTGCAACAAACGAAACGAGCTGTGGGCTCGCGCGTTCGCGCGCCAGCGTTGATTTATGAACGCACGCTGGATCGCCGCGATGCATCTCAATCCGTCAATGATGTCCGCCCGACTGACGAATTAATTGGCCCGAATGTCCGCCGACTATAAAACATGACAATGACAATCGCATTTCCCTGCCAGCGCCAACAACGCGCCCGTAAGGGTTGTTCAAGTCCCAAATGTCTCATATTGTACCGAAAATAATTACATAATAACATCGTAATAATAAACGCGAGTGCATAACGAACCGAAACGCGTTCGTACGCATGATTACCGCCGACGCTTTTTACGCGATTCGTTAGCGTTGTTTGTTCGACGTCAACAACGAACAAAAATACCGAAAAAAAATCCCCACGTAAAAAACTTGGCTGTCGAGGCGGATAAGAGAGGTATATGTGTATATGGGTGTTCGGGACACACCATTTGTTCGAACGTTCACGCTTTGCATTTATGACCGTGTGTCATTTTGTCATTAAGGCGTGAAAAAAGGGCCGAATTTTATGTCCCGCGTGCCGGCGCGCTTGTGGGTTTTATTAAATACGCGTTCGTTATGCATACTACACTACACGGCGAGGTGAAAAAGTGCGAACGATTCCCTTTCAACCATGACGAATTGAAAGTCCTACTTCCGGTATCGACAACCACCTTAGGGCCAGACCAACACTCACAATAAAAACAGGAAGAACCGAACACAATGCGAACATATGTCTGATGATGGACTGTTGTCTTCGGGTGTTGTGTTGCTAACATAATACATAATTTAAATAAGTTGCGAAATCTTTGCGTTTCGAGCTGATGCCTGCAAGGCGTACGTGATGTGTTGTGTGACTGACATGAATTGGTAAACTTGTACAATCCCTATATGCCTCCGAATGAGAAACGTAGAAATACGTATGAAATAATATTGGTAATGACACAAATTAGCGCCCAGAGAACCAGACATGTGTGTTCGACGTCGTTGGGTGTCGACTTTGGGTGTTGAGTGCTAACGCTCGCCGCGAACATCTGCATGTGCGCACGAAACCTATATCAACTTCTCGCGTAAGTATAAAATATCGGCCGCAGAGCAACATATGCGCCGGAACCTGGCGCGAACCGCACACGCGAATTAACGATCCGGACGAAAATCAACAACCAACCGACCGAGTCAACCCACGAGACAATTAAACGTTATTCAATTCGACAAGGCGATTGAAAATAAAATTCTTGGTTATAGGAAAATTGGGCTTAATAAGTTGGAATATTTCATGACACTTAATTATAGTACACTATAGGGTTATAGTAAAGTGGCACCCGCATCGTGGGTGCTAGAGATGGGTCAATTACTCGACATTTAACTCTTAACACGCCGGCGTGCCGAGATTGACGGACCGCGGGGGCCCGCCGACGACACTTTCGACATTCATCAACGCCGGACGCGACAGGAAATTGAATCAGCCGTTCCGAACGAATGCGTGTCTCGCGAGCAATTTTTGAGTGCCGGCCAAAATCGAATACATCACCAACAAGTCAACCTCCAAGCATTATCTCCTCAACCAAGATCCCTTCAATAAAACAGAGTATGTAGGGTAGGGTAAATCTCATCTGGGGATATCAATCCTTATTCACTGTTTTCCTTAGGGTTGATTCTAAGCTGTTACACGACTTATCCATTTTCTCTGTATTTTGTTTTGCTGGCTTCTGCTCAAAAGTCAATTACCGACCTTGATGGTTCCGTTCTTATGCGATGAATAAAGAACGCGCTTTGCATGCAGACGTGCTGATGTCTAGCTGGTGCTTCGGCCGTGCCTTGATGTGTTATGATTAGTGATTTTAGTGGGAGCGTCGAGGCGGCGATGCGCAAATGCGATTAGATGCATTAAGCGCCCGCTGTTGTCGATGCCCGTTGACGAGCGTTTCGTCTTTTATTAATTCAGACGTTGCACAAAATGTGCACTCCTGAGTTCATTCATAATTCTTGGCATGTTTCGCACATCGCTCCTAATTTGCGTATAAAAATATTTGTGTTCGTGTGACGAATATATATTTCTACATTTGCAAAAATTGCTATATAGGCTTGAGAATGAGAAACGTCTGAAAATGTTTTGAATGTCCAAATGTCGATTGAGTAAAATGTGGAGGCGAAACGAATTTTTGGTGGGCGTTTCGGTGTAACAGAATTTCCCTCAATTTGCCTTTGTGCTTTGCGGGTGCTTTCCTACACTTGGTAAGTACAACCAGCCGGACATTTGCTTCTAGCATGTCCGAAAGGCCCCCGACAGTGACCCCAAGCGTTTGTGAATTTGTGGGAATAGTGCTTTTTGTGTTTCCGTCGTTGACCCTCATCAAGTATTCTCAAAGAGAAACAAATTCAAAGAAAAGCAAATGCGAACGGGCAAATCTCATCCAATCCGTGATTTAAAACTTGTCGAATTAAGAATACCGCCTCAGAAAGTCTGAATTTGACATGTATGTTTAATTGACGCGCACGCCCTCTGATTCGACGCCTGCATCCGACAGTTTTTCCTCTTGCCCGTGCGTCTGTGTGCAGACATTACAGTCATCAAAAGCAATTAATCCTTTTTCCGGGCAGCAAACTCTTCACTCCCTTTTCGCCTCATCGGCTTTGTGCCAATGTTTGGCGGTCTGAATGATTGTTGCGGTTGAACAAACGACACGCTCCGCGCACGCAGGAGCAACGCGAAAGCTCCGATTATCCTTCTCCGGCGCGCCGCCACACGGTTCATCCTCGGGGCCTGGGCTGGCTGGCGCGCAGGAAAGTTAATCGCATCGCATACACACGCGCGAGAAACAACAAACACACTGGAAAACGAGGGCTGCGGGCGGCTTCGTGGGAGGGGTTGAACCATAGCCCATGTGTGAGAATGAGAATCCATTCCGAAGGGTGCAGAGTTGGATCCCACGCTTTGTTCGCCCGAGAACGGGGAGATACGTGTTGTATCTACACGCGGCGTGCGCAAGAGGAGACGAAGGTCCGTCCTCGCATGGCCCGCGCTCGCGCGTCTTATCGCAGACAGCAGGATAATTAAATTTGTCCCGGTGATTTATCGGGCTCGAGTCCGGGAGCGCAAGCGTGATGTATGCGTCCCCGCGGCTGGGGCCGCCCTTCTTCCTCACTGGCGGAGCGCCGATAACGCCGACAATTACACATTCATCACACCTGCATCAGAAGACCAGTAGGGATGAATATTAAAATCCCTCCAACTAATCAGAACCTTTTAGAATAAAATCTACGTGTTGTAGATCCACATCTCTGTATGGCTGGTTTACTTCAATTTTTAAACCAATCTTGGCATCAAATCCAGTCTAATTTTTAGATTTCTAAGACAACACGTGTGTTTTCATGACTTCAGAGTTCCGAAGCAAGCCAAGTAGCCAAGAATGAAGTTTGTGTGTGCACGACCATACGTCATTACGGTCCATTACCGGCGGCGTGTGTGCGTTGGTAATGGGGCGACGGCCATCCGTCCTGCTTAGCGGCCGAGATTGATTCGAGCACGAGCCAGCAGCGGCCCGGCTGCTGGGAGGTGGACCCGGTCAGTATTTCATTTTAATGGTCCCCGCGCGAGTGCTCCCCCATTGCAATTCGACTGCAAGAAAACCTGGGATTCGGAATTCCATTAATTTTTCCTCCGCCAGTCAGCCAAAAACTCCGACGGTTGCTATTTGTGCAAGGTATTCAAAAAATAAATTAAACTCGCAATGTTGTTGCCCTCAGACTGTATTCGAATGTTGGTGATGTGGTGACATCCACCTGTTTGCCATCCTCCAGCGTGGGTTCGCAGCGTAACGACGATTACAAGCCATCAGCGTCTCCTGAATTAGGCCGTTTCGTTTTGCAAATGGCTTCCCGTCGCTGGATGTCGAGCGGCATCCGCGCGGCGCCACCGCGTTTTACAAGCTATTTGAAGTCGATAAAATGATAATGCCCCAATAAAAGCGGCTGGGGACCGTCCTCGAGCCGGGGCTAAGTGATTCCGCGACGACGGGACGATGCAAATTGTATCAGGAAGACGCCGGAAAGAGGGGTAGACTAGATCTACGAGAGCGTTGCGCTCGAGGCGCAAGCAAAGGCCGCATTCAAATGTATCCGAAATAAAACTTTTTCCGCACCACTGCCAGCAACCGGGCAGGCAGGCAGACTTGAAACGCGAATCGAATTGAATTTTCAGGATTTGTTTTTCGTTCGCGTGATGAAACGTCGGGAGACGGGATCGTGCGTGTCAGAGTGTCATCATAGGCGAGGCGCACGAATACACGATGACAACGCGACGTCGTAGAATGAGCGAGACTTCGGGAAGCGCTTTTGATGAGCATGAAGTTTCGTGCACGCGTCAATCTCGCAGTCCCCGGTGGTATGCACACACGGGCATGATGGGCTTGGAGGAGCGCTTGGGTTCGGGTTGTGCGGCGCTGCCGTTGCCCTTGCACTATAAATACCGCGGTAATTATACTCAGAGACGCGCTGACGAGTCGAGCGGCGAGCCGAGCCACGCAGATGCTATTGGCAGCCGCAAGGCATAAAGTATTCTCATTTTGAGCGCCTTCCAAAAGTCTCGGGCGCATCGCATGCCTCTCTCCTCATCGCTGCGAGGAGTTATCTATTTTTACAACGCGCATTCCACACACGCTCAAGCTCGAGATGATAATCCGAAATAAAGACGAGAAAATTCAGACGCTGCACAAGGGCGCCCGGTGTGGAAAATCCGAGGGCTGTGCAAAGCTCAAAATATGTATTTTTAGTGCGAGTGGAGGAGTGTGGAGCAAGTGAAAAGGGATGCTGACCGCATCGATAAAACCGAACCGATGGCGAAACGAGAACTGCCAACTGCAGACTACTTCTGCACCACCCTGGACTAGCAGAGGGTGTAACTCAATCCCTGCGTCGCATGAGCGATGCGTCAGACTAAATTGACACCAATTACCAGCAAAACTCCTGGCTGAAGGAGCGCAGTTGTGCAATCCCTCGGATTTACCCCACGACTAATACACTCCCGGTGCCATTAGCACACAGCAGCGCCACCACGCGGTGCAAATGGTGTGCGCTTGTTAGCAGGAATAAAAAAACACGGCTCAAATTCGGTGGTGGGCAATCATAACAGGAGGCGGTGATCGAAAGGGGCGTTCGTAAACAATTTGCGATGCACTTACAACGTCCGGCGTGCTCGCTCCGTCCGTGTGCGACGTTGAGTCGGCGTTGCTCCGCGTGCCGCCGTCGCCGTTCGTCGACCCGCCGAGCTCCGGCGGTTTGGTGCCGTCCCTTTCGTCTATCACCAGGTCGATAGGCATCTTGCCCTTCAGACAGCTGATGTATCGATGGCAGAAATTATCGCACAGTTCGTGCACCTACAAACAAGAGACAAACAGCATTAGCAAATATTCCAACTTACGAAAATAGATAATATCTAGTTGTATGCGTTGAACAAGACATCAAAGCTCATGCAACGTGTCACATTTGAGTCTGATGGGTCGACAGCAACCATTAATTATCTCATTAGCGACATTTTGTGTTTTGCACCCATGCGCTGGGGCAATTAAACCGAGAGAACTTTCAACTCTGAGCCTGCGCAGAAATTGGATGTCATTTCTGTTAGTCACGGCCGCCGCACGTCTACGATTACGATCGGTTTCCCTTTTTACATTCCATGGGTCTTGAATTCGCGTCTTGGCGATGACTCGACGCTCGTCGCCCCGTCGATGGTCGATATGATGATGATGGCGAGCTGAGCGCGGCATAACCGGTTAGAGTGCCGCCGTATTCCGACGTTCACGTCGATTATAATATGCCGATTTCCATCCCGAGCGAATGCAAAGTGTCCCGGAGATAACCATGCGCAGATAGCGCCCTCTACGTTACAGCCGACGCCATTCCGCTTTTAGCAATTTAAATTGCTGCGATTTAAATGTACAAAATTGCACATTGCGCGCAGTATGCTCCAAGCATTCAAGAGTTGAAAGTTTTATAAAAATTATAAAAAAAAAACTGCTGGTGTTACCTTTTCTAGTTCGAGGAGATGAAACCGTAGCACTTGTATCGCTTGCACCATCTGTAAAAATAAAGCAAAGATGTCTCGTTAATGCGTGTGCATGATCGGAAGCGACAATGTACACAAAACAAAATATTCACTACCATCACCACCATGATCCTAGTGGATACTGGGGATAGTATATCATCTCGGTGGTCATATTTCGCAAGCTCGTGCGGGGTATTGCTGCTGCTTGAGCGAATGTTTTCTATATTCGGTAAACATTACGTGTCCATGAATGAACAACGACCTTTATCGGTAGCACCCAGGCGTGGAGTCAGCCGCAGTTCTGGAGCCATGTCGTCATGTACACAGCAGCGGTGTACATACACACTGATGGGAAGATGGAGAAGCATGGAGACGCGTTTGTTAGGTCAGAGTAAACATTACACCCCGAAGCATCCGAGCATCTGATGCACAGCACCAGAGTAAATAATGAACAAAACACAAAACACAGCGCGTTGAGTTTTGGTAGCAGCTGAAAGAACCAGAGGTCGGTGTTCTGATCCGGGTGCTGAAATCCAAGTTGAACATAACCCTCGCTTGTTTTTCGTTTCTTTGCGTGCGGATTGCGGCGCGCGCGTGTAATTCGCATCGAGATAAGACAATGCCCCTTCGTTGAGGCCTGAAGGACCCCGAGACTATTGTCCGACTTTTCCCCCCAATTACCTTCGCCATCACGGCCATCCCGGGGACAATGGCACTTCTGTATTGTCTATTACCTTCCTTCACAACCAACAAACTACTGGACTCCGCGTGCTCTGTGCTCGAAACGAATCGAGCCGTTCGCGCACAACAAACAAAAGAACCACAACACAACACCGGGAAGACGACGTGACGCGAACGCGCGGGTTCGCATCGCAGCGGTTCCGCTGAAAACGAGTGAAACGACAGAATAATCCGGACAGATCGCCAATTTCACAGATATCACGTTGTCGTCGCCGCTAGACGCTTGTCGATCGAGGTGTCGTAGCTTGAGCCCGGTGGTTGCCGAGAGGATCATGTGACAGCACCGTACGATCAACCGTATACACACAAACACACATCTTAACAAACACCACAACTGCGCGCGCGCGCGCGTTATGAAGAATTTGAACGGACCACCCGTGACTGCTTTTGCAACGGTCTCGCACAACTACGGTCAACACTCACGGGAAACAAATAAAATTAAGAGGTGAAGAACGGACTCCGTAAAATACACATCCTTCAAGTTGAAGCACTACTAGGCAAACAAATTCGCGCAAAAATTGTGTTTATCTTACAATCACCACCTATTTATGAAATTTTGTTTTGTTTATAGCGTTAACTTGTTACCCAAGTGCCTGTAACTTAATCTCTTGACTAATTTTATATTTTTTGTTGCTCGTTTTACTCAGCTGTCACCCGAGAGTCGGAAAATGAAACGCGACGTTTTAATCAAAAGCCAACAGCGAGCAAATTAATTCACGTTTTTCCAACATGGAAATAAAACGAATAAAAATAAAAACACAAAAATAAAAAATGTTAATTCAAATTAGCAGACACGCTCACTATTTCCATTTTCCGACTTTTCCTCCACCGAGTATTATTTCATTATATTCATATCAATTTGCATACATTTTCTATTTTGCTACGGCTGCTATTTCCAGCCGCGTTCGGTGATAGTGCACCGCACGGGGTGACTTCTTAATAAAAATGTTAATGTGAATGATTTTTAACGTGAAGAATGTTCCTTTACGTGTCGCGGTGCTGTTAAAAAACGCCCAGCAAGCTAACCAAGACTTTGTGAGGTTAGGAGTCCAAGCATGGGGCGTGTGATATCTTGATGCAAATACTGCGTTGTTGGCTGTCGGCCCGACCGGCCCTCGTCTATTATAATAATCGAGGCAGGCGTACATACGCAAAAGACTTCTTGTGCTAGTTCGCGACGAAATTACGAAAAAACCGTGCAACGTGCAAATGGAATTCGAGATTAGATTAGGTTTTTCTTTCTGCGCGCGGAATTTCTCCCGACAAACCAAGAAACGAACGCAACCTCAAGTAAAAACCTAAATAACAACTTAATTTCATAATGTGTACAGCTAGAAAAATATCGAGTGAAGAAGAAGAAAAAAACGAGAGGAAAACCAACTTACGAGTGAATCGACTTCGGGATCTGCGATGTAGTAGGGTTTCTCTTGTCGGATCTGCAACAAGCAACAAGAAAAAAAGAACTTTAATACACGAACATTCAACATGGGCACACGATGAGCAGCATCATGAACGAACGACATGAGCATTAATATTAATATCGTTGCGCGCGTTCGGAGCGCACAAAAAGCGAACTACAATAAGCTCTGTAAAAACCAGACGTATAAAGCTCGGATGATCGAAACAATAACATAACAAACAGTTAATCACTGCAACTTGGTAGCGCTGGTAGTCGATTTTGGTTCTGTTCGGTTCGGATGTTGATCATCAGTCGCTTCTTCATTTTATTTAATCTTTGTGTACATGTGTGCGTGGCTTTATTTATTTCTCTGTTAATATTTTTTGTTTTAACTTACGCCGCACTGCAGATGAACACAATCATCCAGGGGACGCCGACCAGTTGCGTGCGAAGACAAATTGTCGAATGAAACGCAATCGTTCGATAAACGCCGATTAAGACTTCATCTTCATCCAGTGGTAATAATAATCCCGACACACCGCTGCGCTCACAATAGCAACAAATGTCCACGCAGTGCGCGCGCGCACGTTGCACTTAAGGGACGCGCCGGTTGTTTTGTGCTCGTTGGATTTTTAATTTTCTCTCAGGTTGAGCAGCCTGTCGCGTTAAGTGTACTCTCGAGTCCACTCGGTCTGCGCGCGGACGCAAACACGACGCGTCCATCCGAACAGCCCATAAAGATTACTTTATTATTATTGCGCCATAGTTTTCAATATCGCTGATATGGCCGAGCGCGTCTTGCGAAGACGCTAAGGATGCGCCATTCCCGCACATTAAACTCGATTTTGTTTGTTTTCATCGTGTGGCCGCGGCTTACGGCTCGATTTTTTTCTTTTATTCTTCGCCTTCCGAACGTGTCTCATCTTATTATTACTCTTTTTTTCGTCTCCTTCATTCACCGTGCGTGCGTCGGGCATAAAAATGCGTTACAAAAGCCGGCCGGCGATAGATAACACAACTAAATGTATCTTTAATAATGAGCTTTATCTTATTACTATTATTACCATTATTACTTTTTACAATATGGGCGACCGCAGCACCGAGCCATGATTTTATAATCGTTTGTAATGTAGTAATAGACGCATGGTACTTTAATTTAATTGACTCGACAAATAAAAAGTCAGGAGCAGGAGGAAAAAATCGTTTTAATGAACAGGAAAGAATAGCCAGCAAAATAACATTAAAAAACTACATTCTGAATGAAACTTGACTTAACCAATAAAGAAATGAAGAAATTTTTTGATTGATTTTTGGAGCAAAAATTGTTTACTCAGTATTGTTACTAATTAATTGGAAACCGTGTTTGAGCAAAAATTTAACAGTCATGAATATTAATGAGGCGTTTCTTTACGATCCATGTCTTGTGTTCAACTCAATCCACCTCCCATGACTTCAAAATTTTACGATTTCTGCACAATTAAATTACAAACAAAATTGCAATACTTCTACACCCGATACATGATTTACTCCTTAACGAACAATTTTCATGTTAAAAGACCATTTTACAACTTTGTGCCAATTGAAAAGCACCTGTTCTGCAAGGATCAGAATCTACAGTATCTCGAACTACATCAAGATGGTAACGATTATGATGATGATGACGATATGAAATATTAAAAAGTATTAAAAGACTTTTGAGCTTCGAGTAGTGGATGATGATGAGGGCCGATAAAAGGTGAACCCAAAAAGCGACGAGGTAGACGTGTAACTAGAGAGGACACACCACGTCCGGGCAAAGACGGCAAAGACGTGTAATTACACAGTGAGCCATCGGACCCGCCTCCCCCGGATCGTGTGCCTCCCGCGTGCGCGCGCCCGCTTCCAGATGATGACCACCACGTGGCAACACAAGAGTGTCGAGGCGCACTTTTTATACAGTTTTTATCGTAATTATAGACATTGAGGTCCCCGGCGTTTTATTACGAAGGTGATCATTTCAGGTGGCAACTTCACTCCCGAAGTACCCTCCGAAGACGACCGTAGGCAATTTATGAATAAGGTGCAAAGTGGTCACGGACTACCAAAAACTACTCCCGGTCTTGGTTGACAAATTCACACCCAGTGGAACAGATTTACTCGCTGGACAGAAGCTATTTTCGTAAAATAAATGAATGAATCTGCATTTGGTTGGTGTTGTTGCTTCGCAATGCTTTATTAAAAAGGATTGGCAACACAGACAAAAAAGCACAACGGTTGGTTTTGTGCGCTTGTACTACGGATGTTTTGTTCGAGTTCTGTGCGGCCTGAAAGCAGTTGCCACCGAGGGGCATATGCACATCAGCCGGGCGCACATTGGTCCCTGGATCACGGTGCGGCGAACCGTGGCGAGGTCGCATTGTGCAGAGAAGCACACACGATGGGTTGTGTTGTGTTGTGTGTGTTGCTGGTTGCTCTTTTCCAAGTCCGAGCTCAGACCCACAACTAGATAGAAGTCACCCAGCGGGAGACTTCTTTATTTTATTCTCTCTTTTTTTTTATTCAGCAGTTAACCAGCAGCCAGCAATACCAAATCAAAACACATGTACGGGCGTTTGTAAAATTGTAGTAAAATCAGTTAAAACCTTCAATTTTGTGAATTTATTGTTTTGTCCAGATTGGCACACCGGAGACAATTCGAATGACACGTTTGGGAAACGCGCAGATAAGCAGCCGAGGCGTAATTACAAGCATTACGCTAAGTAATGACACGTTGCCGGTCGCGGTACGCAATTTGCCATCGCTCTTCACGACCATCTAAGTATTTATGTATTGGTGTGAGTGTTGTACGTATATGTGGTGTCGTGACAACGTTTCGTTTTGTTGATAAATACACACAAGCATCACGATATATCCAAGATACAATGCACGCGGTTTTATTAAATCATTTTCCATTTTCTTGTTATATTTGCGCAGCAATTGCATGAAAAATTATTTATATAATTAACTACGCCATCAGCACACATACAACTATTAATAAGCGGGCATTTATTATATTAGTTCAAGCAGGATGCGTTGTGGATGTTAATAATATAATTTCGTTTTATTTCAAGCGACTTGGTTTCACTTTTGTTCAAGTTTGCTTTTCAGCGAGTGTCGAGCTAGTTTTGAGTTGTGAGTTTTCGGACGCAGGTAATATCCTCTCTTGCACACACAGGTGAGCAGCGAGAATAAAGAATGAAGAATGCGACGCGCGGAGGGAACGCATAGACGTTCTTCTTTTGTCCACGCAAACACACAACACGCCGAACCGAACTGAAGACGCGCAGAATAAACTGGATCGTTGCGTCGTGTTCTTCTTTTTCAGTAGCTGCAACAACAACAACGGCGCAACAGTCGCAGTCGGTTGCATCTTCAATGCGTTTTTTGGAAGTTTTTCGACGAGGTCTTCGTCATTTTTTGTTTTATTTGCAGTCAGACTCGTGACAATGGAAATACGTAACAAAAAACAACCTCCAAAACAGTTTTTGGGCAATTTTCGTAGTAACTTTTTCATTTATTACGGTTTATGTTTTTATGATGGTCACCACGCCACGTCCTCATGACTTTAAAAGTCGTGTATTCATGGCAATATAAATATAAACGTAAACTCGAAGGAATTTGAAGCCAAGCGCGCTACAAAGAATTGCTTCTTGCTGATGGTGAGAGGGTTGAAATCGTTGCCCCCCTGCCGGACACTCACCTGCCGTTCGTGAACGGCGCAATAATTTATAGCGGGGCGCTTGTAAAATAATTTATGTCGGGAGGGCCTGTAAACGAACCACGTGGTGTCCATCGACCAAGCAGCGCCGTGGAACGAGTAACAACATGTAGTAGAAACTCAAGTATATTTACGACCATAACCACTACTAACCAGAATGTTATTTAAATTTTAAGCAGATGAACAACAGACGTGTCAATAAATGCACAAGTTTCGGGTGGAAATTAATATCACAGGAAAGAAAAAAGTTAAGAAATGTTTTTTAGAAGACTATTGTGTGCTATTGTTCAATTCTGACGGTCTACTGAAGAAGCAAGCGTGTCTGGACATTGGCATGCTTGAAAGAGACTGATGCGAAATGTTTAACGTACACAACAAGCTAAAAACTTTAGAAACAATTAAATTTAATTAAATTTTATTCAAAAACATTAACAATATTATTAATTTCAATAAATATAAATTATTTGAAGTAAATTTGTTTTGATTTTTAAATAATTTTTAATTTTTTGCTTTAAAGTGAATTGATTTTAAGAAGGATTGATTCCAAGTTGTGTATGTTTAGCTGTCGGTCGTAATGGCCGTGCCGATCGGCGCTCGTTGGCCATTAATCGCCACCTTTTAATTACCGGGCCAGTAAATTACAGCCCAAGAGCCGCCGCCGCGTGGTTCTCACATGCGCTCAACATACAATGTGGCTTTTCACACGAGTTCCGCCGAACGGTAGCCAACACAACATCCAACTCAACTCCAGAGTTTACGTCCAACTTGAGCAACAAAACAGAAAAAAATATCTACACACACATCCAGAGCTACTGAACGTTTTGCACGGTATTCGTTTCAAGTTCAGTCTCGTCTTCTTGAGCGTTGCGTTTTGCGCTTACATTATTCATTACACGACGCGCGGCGCTGCACGCCGCATAGCGAAAAGTGTTTTTGACGTTTCGCGAAAGACCCGCAGCACCAGCCTGCTGCGAGAAGAGAGAATACTAATAGAAAACATGACGAGACACGACTGCATCGCGAGACGCATCCCAACAAACGAGAATCCAAGCGCTTAACTTGAGTAAGTCGCGTCGCAACTCGAATTCCGCGTAAAGCACGCCGTTTTCTTGGAAACCATCAACGTTCTCTGCACTACCAGGGACTACCAGCATGCATGCAATAAGAACAAGACCCATTGCCGAGCGCGACGCGTATCCATGTTTCTTTCTTTCCACGCGGACCTTTTTTCCAACCAGTTTTGAGTAATTTTAAAAGTATTTCGGTTCCACGTTTTGGGTTACTTTTTGGGCCATGCGCTC